AATTTTCTTTTTTTTTCAAACCTTAAGCTATGGCATAAAAATGTCCTAAATGAAATAACGACTATCACTACGCTAACAGAGAAGAATTATAGTAAATGATATATATTGAACTAATATTAGTAAGTAAATGATTTGATATAGTTTCAGAAAAATCAGATCTTGTGTATGCATATAGGTTATCAGAATGTCCATTTCCAATTATTCATTGCAACAGACATTCAATAACTTAAATAAAATCGTAATTTACATGAATGTGAATTTGCTGGCAATATTAATGACTTCAAGACTCAAAATCAAATAAAACCCGCCATGTCTAATTTTTTTTTATTTTAATTTCTTTAATCTCCTCTAATCTCCTTTATCTCTATCGACTTGCATCTCACCACACAAAACACCTAGAATAAGTCAACGACGAGTTTTGCGAAGTCAATGTGCCATGAGAAAGATTATTTGGAAACCAAGTCCAAGTTTTCGTACACAGATCCCGATGATTTATACAAATCTGATGCAGTGACACCACTCTTTGTTTGTTCATTATCTTTCAATTGCTGTAACATAAGTCTTGTTCTTTCTCTTTCTTTGAATCCATGTAAACATTCGAAATAATCTTCAAATTGAGGTGTGCATGCCTTCTTAGTTTCGGTATCAGCAGAAGTGTAACAGGCCACTAAAGTTTGGAATTCGTAGAAGCACTTTCTGGTACCACCGGATCTTGAGTAAGGTTGCATTGTTAAGTGTATTTATATCAGCAATCAGAATACTAGCTGGTGATATTTAACTAGTGTATATTTCATAGACATAATTAGTTTTTCGTTGCGCTAATTGGTCATTAAATAAATTGTGCAACGCACTACCTTTTTTATAAGCAATAGAGCAGGCCATTATTAAGCTGCAAATAGATACCTACAGAGATATATGAAGCTAGATGTAAGTTTTATTAGTTTATTGATGTTATCTATACATAGGCCAACATTTCACGTATACAATCTTTAATTTCATAGTATAATGGGCCCATAGCACCATCAATAACTATGTCACCAGTGTCTTCACCTTCAACGCTGCTGTAAGTAACCTTTCTAATTGCAACACTATTGTTCACAACCAATGTACCTTCACTTTTAAATTCTGCATTCATATTACGGCCAATAAGTTTCTTTTTAAGCTCAGGTAATCTAATATTACCAATCGCCAACTTTGGACCATTATTATTGAGTAGTTGGCCCGTAGTGGCAGCATGTGCATCTATGAGGGCTTGTTGTTGCTTTAAAAAGTCCTGGTTGGAAATATGCTTCAAAGTGAATTGGGTTGATGAATTCATGTAGTCACTGATAGTCTTTTGCTTCTTATTAGGCAAATCTTGGTTATGTATTTCTAACTCACCATAGACTTGAGCTACCCTGTAACTACCATCAATATTTTGCCATTTCAAGTTGTTAATAATGCTATCATCCAATTTAATTTCAAAGTTACTTAATCCGATACCAGTATCATCAGAATCGTCACCTCCAATCTTCACTGGAGTATTGCACAGCATGGCGAAAATCGCCAGCTTACCTGCACCGTTATTACTTGTCATAAAATTCGAAATTCCACCTCTTATGGTTGCCAAGGATAGATACCTTGATGAGTTAGCCAATGACTTTTTATTTTGCTCTTGCTGTTGTTGATCTTGCTGTTGATCAAACATCTGCTTAACAGTTACTAAACCATTCATTTCGTCGATTGTATTTTGGCCTATACTAAAATCGGGCAACAACAATAAATTATATGGCTTCAAGGATGAAACGATCAAACTTAATGAACGCATGTCTACCAAACCCGATAAATCAACAAACGACAACCCACATCTCATACGCAACTCTTGTGGTTTCGATGAAAACGAAGATGCCGCATTGAGTGGAATTCTTTTTCTAGGACTAAACAACGTATCAAGGTTCTTTTGTAACAATTGATTGTTTAGGAGCTCTTGAGGTGTGATTTTATTTTGGTTATTATTATTATCCTTATCTGAGTTCTTGCCACGTCCTTTACCCTTATTATCGACATTACCCCATTTACGCTTTTCATTTTGTTCGAATTTCCGTTTACTTTCCATAATTAATTTGTTGCTACTTGAATCCTCTTGCTTTTGAAAATCTTTGATGTCAATCACTTCACCATAATCATCAAACTTTTGTTTATGAGAACTGACTATGTAAGGGAACATTGCCTGTCTAGGTTTCAATTTATGCGTGATCTTGAGGTCTAATGGACGATTTGCTTCGAGGGTTTGTTTGACGTGATCTGTTATAAAAGCTTCATGGGCCGAAAGCTCGTCAACATTCACAACTGAGGTCACATTTGTTGTATTAGGAATGTCAGCGTTAGAAGGAACATCAGCATATTTTAATGCAGAAACTTCTTCATCAGATGATACAACATCGTCGTCTTCATCGGATGAGGAGTCATCTCCATTTATTGTATCTGCGTTTAATAAATTTTGATTTTTTCTATCTCTTACCTTAGCAAGTAACTTTTGCTTCCTTTGTAAGTTTATCTTCTCCTGAAAATCAGTAAGTTCTGCACCTATTAATGGTTCTTCTCTATGCCAATTTTCCAAACTAACTGCCTTTTCTAGAGGAACAGCAATCCCATCTTCAACGGTACCTCCTTGCTTTTGCTTCGTAAGATTGTACCAATCATTATATAATTGGGAGTTAATAGAATTATCCAACCCAAAATGTGTCTTTTCTGTTAAGACTATAGTTGTTTTCTCATCCTGACACAAGTATTGTAATGCTTCGGAAGACATGTCACCATTCTTAAGGTCAATACCCGAACAAAAAACAATTTTTGGACCACTTAATTGAACGAGCTCACTGGGATCCAGTAACAAGTCGACTTTGGATGGATCGAATGGAAAATTGTTCTTGTTTGAACTATTATTATTCATTGAAGAAGCTTCCTCCCATTCCTTTACTAATTGCGAAGACATCCATTCCAACAAATTAGAAGCGTAACTTAAAACTTTAGTTCCGGAATACGACAAGAAATAGACAGGTATAGGTGCACTTTGCAAATGCTGATCTATTAAATGTAATAATTCCAAAAATCTACCTGAAAGAGATGTCGGCAATAATACTGCACCTCCATTAGCCAATGTGGCATCCACTAAATTAAGGAATTTCTCTGTACGTTTCTTATGAGACATTGTAGATCCTAGATCGGTGTTGGTAATTAATGCAGTCGGTCTCATCAATTGAGACAATGGATTTCCACTTGATGATGACAAGAAACTGGCACTGTTTAAGAATGAATCTTTAGAATGGTTCCACGAAGGTGCATATATGATTTTTTCTAGTCTCCTTGTTATTAACCAAAATGTCCCACCTAGAGTATGCCCAGCATTATATGGAGTGATAACCAATCTATTATCAAATACACTCAATGTCTGGAAATACTTCAACGGTATAATCTTATCAAACCATTCATCCACCTCATCGACTTCTAATATGCTATTATTCAACGGTCCCAAAACTCCATTAGCTCTGTAGTATTCAACTGTTGAGACTCTACCTAACTGATTTACAGGCAATGTAGAATAAATAGGTATGTTGGACATTAAATTAGGAAATTTAATACATAATAAAACAAATCCACTTATAAATTCTGGTGTAGAATGAGATAAAAGTATTATGTCCACTTCCTTTAAGTATTGTTCCATGTATAAAATGTCTTCATGATTATTACCATTCCAGCTCGGATCAGCCAAAATCTTTATATCATTATCAAAAGACAAAAGCGACGCCTTACACGAATAATCATCTGTGCTCGGAGTTATTATAGAAAACGTGAACATTCTGATAATCCATTCGTTTTGTCTATATTTATTTTATGTATTCGTTATTGAAGAGTAATTAAATTTTAACTGTAATGTCGTCACTTTTCAAAACGCGACATTTGAAGATTTTAGTATAGTACGGGGAACTAACTAGCTAACTAGACTAGTACAAGTTAATTGAATGAATGAAACCATCTTAGACATACTCGGACAACAGCCACTTAATATATTCACTCAAATATGCTTTTGTTATTCAATGAGTGAAGATGGTAAATCGAAAAAGGAAATTATCGAGACATTGAGGAACGGCTTGGAAATATTGACAAAGGAGTTTCCATGGGTTGCTGGACAAGTTGTAAATGAGAACAAGAAAGAAAATGAAGATACAGGCATATTTAAAATTACGGCACTTGAGGAAATTCCTCGGTTCGTTGTCAGGGATATGGGTAATGAAGGATCAGTTCCATCAATGGAAGAGTTGCGAAATGCTAGTTTTCCTATTAGAATGTTAGACGAAACTTTGATTGCCCCGAGGAGTACTTTACCAGGGATATTTAGCGAATCCTCAGATATTCCAGTTTTTATTCTACAAGCAACGTTTATTAGAAATGGACTAATTTTGACTTTCTTAGGTCAACATCAAGTGATGGATGGAACGGGACAAGCACAAGTTATTTCCATGTTTTCAAAAGCTTGCCGTGGTGAGAATTTCACCAAAGAGGAATTAGAGACAGGAAATATGGATCGTAAAGACATAATACCTTTACTTACAAAGGAAGAAGAGACCAATTTGGGAGATTTGCATCAAAAGCTCGCGCATCAGATAATATCAAATCCTTCTTCACCAAACGCAGAACCACGTCAATGTGTTTGGAAATCCTTCAATTTTTCTTCTTCTTCACTCAGTGAATTGAAATCTCTTGCAACCGACGACCTTCCTTCAAGTGCAAGCTATATTACCACAGACGACGCACTAACAGCATTCGTTTGGCAATGCGTCTCGCGAATCCGTCTTTCAAGGTTCTCTCCAAACAAAAAATCAACCCTTGCAAGAGCTGTTAATGTCAGACATTATCTAAAAATTCCACCCACATACCCTGGAATGGTACAAAATATGACGTACAACAGTTTTACACTCACCCAATCAATCAGCTCCCCACTTGGCCTAATCGCATCGCAGCTTCGATCCAATTTTGACCCTAATGGATCCCATCTCAATCAAGATACACGAGCCTTAGCCACTTTCCTCAACTCTACCAAAAACAAATCGGTTGTATCATTTACTGCATCGTTAGATTTATCCTCCGACATAGCGCTAAGTTCCTGGGCAAAGCAAAACAGCTATTCATTGGATTTTGGCCTTGGCCTTAACAATCCTGAATCCGTTAGACGTCCTCATTTTACACCAGTGGAAGGTCTTGCATATCTACTCCCAAAAGCCCGAAATGGTGATATTACTCTCGCTATATGTCTCTGCGATACAGATATGGACCTTTTAAAACGTGATGAACAATTCACCAAATACGCTACGTATATACCTTAGTAGAAACTTGAAAGACATCTTATAACAGCTTCATCGTAAATTTAACATGTTAAAAGCTTATAACATACAAAAAGAGAGCAGAAAGAATACGTTTATAGTATACAAAACCAAGGGTTTAAAACAAATTTTATATTATACAACTTAAATAAAAAGATGCAAAAAAAATTAGACACAATCTATAAGAGAAATTAAATATAGCGACAGAGAAGAAAATAAAATTGAAATGAAAGTATAAGTATAGATGAAAGTAACGATTCTCAACGATCAAAATTAATACTTGTTCTTGTGTGATATGAAAGTAATGTTTCAGCTTGAGTCAATCCCGGTAATTCATGAGTTGTTTGAATTCTATCTAAAGAGTTTCTTGCCGTAGCATATTGACCTTCTTTCATCATCTGTATCCTCAATTGATTCAAATCAAGCTTATTTATATTATTACTGGCAATAGTGCCTTTTCTTGATTTAGAAATAGTTGCACGTCTTTTGATAGTCTTGAAGGTTCTCTTAAGGGTATTAGACTTTTCTATCGTGTTACCAGCCTCAAAAGGATCCTCATTTTGCTCTTCCTTAATGTTATGTCCAATTCTTTCCAAAACAGAAGGATCGCCATGTTTTAATTCACTCAAAATCCTATGCTTTTCAACATCTTCGAGATCAGTTGGATCATAAACTTCAGGATAGTCATCGTACTCGCCAGAGAGAGCTTTTTCTCTAATAATATCAATATCACGGGGACGGAAATGTCTCATTAAGAAATCATATGTAAATCTTGGCAAGAGGCAGAAAACAATCCCGATAAAAATAGTACACCAACATGCCAACGTACCAAGAACTTGTGCCCCGGCTTTATAAAATTCAGCCGCATATACTCTGGAACTCCAAACACCTGTCCAGAAATACACAAGAAGGATAGATATACTTACAATCAAAAGAGTAAGCCAGTCCCATCTATACTGCTGCAATAAAACGTAGACATTACACGATGTAACAGAGATACATGCAGCAACAACACCCATCCAAAATCTATGATCTATTCCTAATCCTTGGGGATTTTGGAATGATTTATACATCAACAAATATGGAAAGAAAAAAGAAATTACCGACTGGTAAAGTCCGTCAAACATATACCACGAGAATTTATATTGCGACCAATCAAGTCCCAATATACCTGATCTGTATAACTGAGGAACCAAGAGCGAAACAGTGTCTGAAACGTCTTGGTCTAAAACAGCTAAAACAATAATCGGCAATGAAGTAAAAGCCAAGTTATAAAACATCAAATAGGTATATTCATAAAGATATGACCCATCGAAATCGTTATAGATACCATACCAGAAACATGTTAATGTGAAAACGACGTTCTTATAGAAAAAACAAGGAATCATTTCTGCCAACCTCTTGTAGGACCATCTTCCGTGAACGAGTAATAATCTCGTCAAATACTTAAACTGACCGACTGCATAATCTGATGACATTACAGCCTGTCTACCTTCCTCACCGGCAATACCAACACCGATATTTGCAGCCTGAATCATCGCAACATCATTAGCACCATCTCCAATGGCTAATGTCATGACATGAAGTGAGCTCTTGACCATTTTTACAACACTAGCTTTTTGGGATGGGGAAACACGGCAGCAAATGACTGATTTACATTGTTTACCGAGTAACATAAACTTGTCCTTCACAGTCTTAACTGATTCATTCCCATCAGATAAATCACCGAAAATATGCGCTAATGCAGCACCATCAATTATAAGTGCAAAATTTGCAGTTGGTGATGAGTGGTCCTTTTTAGCTTCGTTCATAAGAGACGCAATTTCATTATTGAAATTTGTAACACCATTAAGCATATTAAAATTTTCTTGCAAGTATTTTGTGAGCAAGTTGTCGATGTGTTCTATATTTTCAGGATCATTTTCATCAGGACGAACAACCAATAGTTTCATATCGTTTTCCAACAAGTTACATGAAAACCCAATATTAATCGCTGTTTCGATCCTATCACCAGTCAAAACCCATAATTTAATACCTGCCTCTCTTAAAATACCAATTGAATCTGGTACACCTTGTTGCAACCTATCTTCAATGGCTGTACCACCTAAAAGTATTAAGTTCTGTTCTATTTCTTCATCTAATTCAGCAATAATATCCTCACGACTGTCGTCAATGGATGAATATGCTTCCTTATATTTCACTAACCAATCTTGGAAATAGTTAGGATCCACTTCCTTCTGAGCGATACATAATGTTCTTAAACCTTCTTTAGCAAAATCTTCTAAGTGTAACGCTGTTCTAGTGATGACTTCCTCATTGTTCAAATTATTGTCTAATCTAGAGAAAATCACATTATCAGCACCTTTAGATATTAAGAGAATTTTATTCTCTGGAGTCCTGATAATACAAGACATTCTTTTTCTAGCAGAAGTGAAGGGTATAACTTGCAACAATTCATACTCTCTGGGCTGTCCGTAAATATTCAAAACTAACGATTTTCTTAATCTTTCTTTGAATTCAATCCCAACATCCCTAGCAACTGCTACCAATGCAGCTTCATCAGGAGATTCCGCTTTAAAATCTCTTAAATCTGGATTATCAGGATTTTGTTCAGTTACGACAGTGTGACATAAAGCCAATGCGTACATAAACGTTTCATTAGCCTCTTTTTGTTTCTTACCGGATTCCAACTCTGGAGTAATGGTGTCTTTAGCATAATCATTGGAAATAAATGTTAAAGCTTCTTCATTAAACTGATTATTGTTACTGAATTTCGTTAAGTTATCAACCATATCAGTTTTATTTTCAGCTATAATATGCTTCCATTTCTCTTGTTCCTTTACAATATCAACCCCTTCTCTCTTGTCTAATCCTTGTTTTGCTTCTGTGTAAGCATAACCATACGACTTACCGTTGATTGTACATTTCTTGAATTCCATAACGTTCTGGGTTAAAGTACCAGTTTTATCACTAAAGATATATTCAATTTGTCCCAAATCATCAGATATGTTCCAGGACTTAGGAATACATGGAAAGTCAAGTCTCTCATAGTACATCTTTATATCTGAATAAATAAAAAAAGCTTGTAAAGTTTTGATGATTTCAACAGATATATACAATGAAATTGGAACCAAAGACTGATAAATAATTAAAGCCACGAAAAAGGCAAGGACACCATTAGCCGCGGCAGTGGGTGCATATGGTTTGAAATCAAAATATATTCTTGATACTTCCTTTTTATTATAAAAAAGACCATTGATCAAACCTGAAACAAAACATAAAACAAACAAGACTAAGAAATTTATGATAACAGATAAATTTAATTGTCTCGAAATAAGAGACGATTTGGTTGGGGTTATACCTGAGTTCAACATAATCTTTGTTTCACTACCGGTGTAAACAACAACACCAATTACCCATTTTGTGTTTCTTAAGGTTGATCCTCTCAACAAAACATTATCATTACTAATTGCTTCTTTTTCATCTTCGTTAATTAGTTGGCCATGTTCGTTAAAATTCTCATAGTGGATTGTTCCTTTGAATGTATACAACAGACTATTTGGCGCATCACATTCGATCCAAAATCTTGTATTACCCAAATCCTGAGAATGCTTGATGTTACCAGAACCACCACACTTTAATGCATTTTTAACCTTCAAGTTAGTCTCACCGTCTAAATTTTTCGTTTCAATATAACAATTTCCTTCAATATCAGAAGTGGAGATAATAATAACATCGGCTGGAACTTCCTCGTTGGCTCTAATTCTAATAAAATCACCTATTGCAACATCCTTCCATCTACGGTTTTTAAAAACAGTATTAGTAGAGTTATCAGCAAAAAGGTGAGGATTGACTATGGAATCGGATAACGGTTTCGAATGCATATTTCTTGAAACACGCGATTGTCCCGACTTTCTTGGTCTACTCGAAGAAGGTCTATTCATCGAAACTCTATTCGAAGCATAAGAATACTCGGAATGTACAGTGGAAACCCTATGTAAAGCATTAATTTCCTCTTCTCTCTCTTGTCTAACAAGATCAGCTTTTACAGATCTTTTGCCAAACACCATAATAGCGGCTTTCTTCATAGCCTTAAAAAACTTCCCATTTTGTCTAGTACAAGCCTTTTTGAATTTCCTCCATGGTCCCACATACGTAGTTAGCACATTGGAATTATTTAACCCTTGCAACAAATGGATGGGCGAGTTATTCAATTCGGAGTCACTTGAACCCCTTCTGTAATCTTCGATAGCATCCTTGATGGCAGTAATACATACAATAACAATCAAAGGCACCGCAGCCAAACCTGGATTGGGCACCCCGAATATCTGGAATGCACCTAAAATAACCAATATCAAGAAATACGTATTAGCCACATTCGTAAATTGAAACAAGATATTTTTAGGCAAAAATGATAATGGGGTGTATTTCGTGGTTCTGATCTTGTTTCTGGGATATATCAATAAAGGGTTGCCCGAATGGGGGTCTTTCAACTCGTCTGGCAACTCATGATTCACATAGATATATCTGGGGGTATTATTGTAGATATTAACCATATATTCTGGCATGGGAGCCATTCCCTTATTATAGAAAAACGCTTGCATCTTCTCCTTAAAAGTGGGTGCTGGCGTATTTACAAGATCGCTCACACGGTTCTTTGCATTCGTATTATTGTCCTTTGACGATTCACTGTTACCTTTCGACATCGGCGCCTCCGATGAACTGGATCCGGTCCCTCCTTCGTTCTCATGAACCATGCCATCTTCATGTGCATGTTTAGGCCACAGTGAGCTCTGCGACCCGTTGCTTGAGTCAACCGTATTCATTGCCAACGTAGACGGTGTGTGTGCGTTGGGATCGGTCATCGACAATCTAATGTATTTATGTCCCTTGTGTCCTTACCGTTACACTAACTCTCTCTTATTAATATATATCTATTAATACTCTCACTTACTAATACTCTTTACTGGATGTCTCCTGAAAAGTGATTCTAGCAATCAACTAGCAACGTATCGAATTTTTAGCACTTTCGACTTTCTTTGCAAGCACCAAGGGTTCGTAGTATCTACCTTCAATAGTTATACAACCTCTTTGTTTATCCGCTGTTGATACTTTAAGGATGTATATATTTAATCGGAATAAATTTCGAACCATTTCCCGTGGCCTATATGCAGGTCATCCATATATCCCGTCAGAAAGAAGAAACAGCCGGTCTTGAAACGTACATAAACATGCAATAGAAACAGTATTCACGGCTATTTTTGCATCCTGTCACTTACATCCCCATATGATATCTATACGCACAGCGTGCTGCAATAACACTGACTAATAGACATAGCCAAAGCAAACTTTGCGGTGGCTATTTTTGGGACTAGATCATTCGAGTAGGTGCTGCGTTATTAAAAGAAGTTCGAGAGTTTTACGGTGTCTCGGATATAAAATACGTTTGGGACCGGCCGAAACGGATTGAATCTGAAAAGAAAACAGCACATCCGTACACCAGAAAGAGCCATACATCAGTTAGTTAGTTACCCGGCTCTCCTCGAAAAATTGTTGTCGACTCTCACCGTGAGCCTGGTGAAAAGTTCAACGAGTGGACATAATTAGCCTATTTTCTGAATAGAAAGCAGTATAACTAACACAGAAATACAATAAAACACACAATGTCTATCGAAGAAATCCCACAAGGTGCTGACGTCTCTATCTTATCTAAGAACGAAAAGAAGGCCAGAGAATTGATCAAGAAATTGAACTTGAAGCAAATCAAGGGTATTACCAGAGTCACCTTCAAGCAAAGAGGTAACTTAATCTATGCTATTGACCAACCAGATGTTTTCAGATCTTCTGCTGGTACCTACGTTGTTTTCGGTGAAGCTAAGGTTGATGACATGAACAAGAGAATTGCTGAAGCTCAACAACAACAAGCCCAACAAGAAGCTCTCGCCAAGGCTGCTGGTGAAAGCGGTGAAGCCGGTGAAGGTCAAGAAGACAAGTCCCAAGACGCCATCACTGCAGACTTAGAAAAGGCTTCTCTTAATGCCAACAAGGTTGAAGAAGAAGAAGCTGATGATAGTGAAGTCGACGAATCTGGATTAGACTCCAAGGACATCGACATTATCGTTGAACAAACCCAAGTTTCCAGAGGTAAGGCCGTTAAGGCCTTGAGAGCTCACGACGGTGACATGGTCAACGCTATCATGGAATTGTCTTAGTTTAGGAGTATATTATTAAATGATACACGCGAGATAGCCTTACAGAGGAATGCGAAATTAAATTGTAGTATTAGTAGTTGAACAACGCGATATAAGCCTATCTAGGAGTCTGCGTGGGGCGACTCGCTGGACAATCTATTAAATGATGAAGAGTATGTGTCTTTGGGCTTGATAAGCGTCGATTCGTCGGGTTGGTTATGAGAAGTCTGACCTGCGGTTGGATGGTCCATTGCATCGTCAAGCAGCGGACTGTTCACTGCTGGATCAACTGGAAGAGGAGATATTGAATTCGACTTGAGCTCCTCGGTTTCAATAGGGGTAGCTGTTCTCTCGGTGTCGGTCTCACCATTCAAAAAGCCGCAATTAGGACAGATGTATGATACCTTGAAAGGATTCGTGCTTCCTGGAGGTGCTAATCCGTTGTGGGTCAAACATTGCTTACAGATCAAGGCATATCTATTCTCCGTGGCCTCATTATTGTCCGATCCCACAATAAAATCTAATATCCGATCTTGAAATGTTCTGGGCGCCTGAACTGGTGGGTTTGCTTGAAGATTCTGCAATCTCTTTATGATCTGCTGCTGCTGCTGTTGTTGTTGGGTAGTTGGCGTATTAATTTGGCGTGCTACATTGGTTTGTTTCTTGGTGGGCTTGTCTCCAGTGTCGTCCTTTGCCTTCTTTCTCTCATCTTGGCCTCCATATTTGTTTAGTAATTCATTAGTCGTGTTGAAATTAGTGATTTTCTTCAATTCCTCGATCTTAAGCGAATGCTTCTTCTTCAACGTTTGAAGAGATTTTTCCCGTCTTCTCACCGAAATCTTGAACATGCTATTGATCAAATAAACAATCAAGTACCCCACAAGAGGAAATCCCACTAAAACCATACGCTGTTCATTGGACTGGTTTCTAATGAAATTCACTGTCTTATTTTTGGCAATCGGCAACCTTGGAACCTTCTGATATATATAAACAACAATTAATGCATACGCTGCTATGAAAATTTTGCTTAAAAAGAATACCCATCGTTTTGATTTGCCTTTCAAACTGTAGATTTGTTGTTGCGTACTAGAGATCTGCTTTGTCAATTGAGTCAATTCTTTTTCGAACGCATCAGGATCAAATCCCTTCAGCTTAAATATTCCGAAGACTCCCATTGTTAGATTCGATTAGATCTCTTGTTCTGTAGTATATTCTCTGTGTTTTGCATATATTGTTCGTAAGATAATCGAATTTTTAGCGATGTTGATTGCTTTCACGTGGAAATTCGTCCTATCATCAGAATCCATCATCGATACATCAATATATTATTAGCTCATTTCGAGATATAATGACATATACGGTGGGGGACAGAAGAATAAGCATAGACAAGGATGAGCTAGATGCTTCAGAGAAGGATTTAATATTGGCACATCTGAAATTATTCAAATATTGTTTAAATAATGCATCGTACAAATTTTTGATGAGTCTGAAAAAAATTGTACATTTATACAGTGATATCATTACGATATACAGCACATTGTTAAGAAAAGTACCAAACTATGACGATATTACGCTTATGACTAATAGGACTCGGTTGAATTTGTTGAAATTAGAAGATGATTTCAATAGACTTCTTGGTGACAAATTACAGGGCGACAGCACGAAGAAGGGAAACTGGGAAGACAAAAGCTACGAGTTAGAGGTCAAAAGGATATGTTTGCTCTGCGTTGAGTCGTTGAACGAAATTTTTGAGTTGATAAACAAGAATTTGAACTGCATCGATGTGTTTTTCAACACCTTTGATAATTTGAAAAAACTTTTAATACCGTTCTTGTCGAGCCAAACTAAGTCTATCCAAAAACTGATGGTCAAGGCATTGTACCTATTCAAGTTGACCACCATAGTAGACGAAGTAAGCTCCATAAAAGAACTCACTCCAACCATCATCAAACAATTGCGTAAAATCGAAAAAATCACTGGCGGAATTGAAAGGGAACTGATTATTCTTGACACTGCATTTGTAACGTTCGATCCTTCGTTACAACAATATACTAGCATCTTACTTGGTAAGGCCATTTTAAAGAGGGACATTGATGACTCAGACTGTCAAATCATAAAGCGCAGAGAAGTCTGTTTCCAGGCCGCAGAACATGTGGTCAGCATTCCTTTGACCGAAGATCAATCCTCGAATCTCACCATGAAGCATTTGGTTAAATATATAGTCTACGTCTGTATTTTGTTGGCCGTGGTACTGAGTTTGATGCTTTACAGGATAGCCAAGGTCATAATCGGATGAGTAGTGACCAATACTCGCAACTCCACTGCATAACCAAAGAACGTGTTCCTTATCACCTAATCACACCCTACATATTCGCCTCGCCTTGTATAGTGTCATATAGTTAGTATCGTTAAATAAACTGTTGTATTAACATATGTATAGAAGGTATTGATAGTATGTAATATTGTTACACAAAACCTAGTACATCTAAAAGTTCCATCACCAAATAAAATGAAAACATACTCCATAAGTAGGTATTACTAGAAACTAATTAAATAACGATATCGTCGTTAAGAGGTATTTGAACTCAACAATTTCTATTGAGCTATTATACATTCATTGATATATGATCATAATTTGTGTTTGATTAAAGTAATTATTAGCTACCTCGATTATAAAACGTTAGTCAAGTAATATACAATGGGTGATAATACACAAATTTACTCGGCGACGTATTCAAATGTGCCAGTGTTCGAATTTGTCACACTGGAAGGGCCTATAATGAGAAGAAAGCTGGATTCATGGATAAATGCCACCCATATTTTAAAAATTGCCAAATTTCCTAAAGCCAAAAGAACGAGGATATTGGAAAAAGATGTACAAACGGGGACACATGAAAAGGTGCAAGGGGGTTATGGGAAGTATCAAGGAACGTACGTTCCGTTAGATTTGGGAGTAGAAATAGCAAAGAACTTCGGGGTGTTTGATACCTTGAGACCCATTTTTGAGTTTACTTACATAGAAGGAAAATCGGAAACTCCACCACCAGCGCCAAAACATAGCCATGCATCCGCATCGAACGTAGCCAAGAGGCAATCCAGTATTAACAATACCTCTGGTGGTGCCAATAGTCTGAATACGACCACACACGCAAGAAAAACAAAGAGCTTGACGTCTTTGGCCGGAGAGCCACCAAAAAAGAGAGGCAGACCCAAAAGAGTCCCTATGAAAAATAATGTAGAGCCAGCTTTACAGCATACAGACACAACCCCTATAGGAACAATCCCAGAATCTGGTCCTAGCATTGGAACCTTCAATACAAAAAAGTCGTTGGGCCATCCGACCTTATCTAGACAAGACACCGAACAAGATGCATTGCAAATAATGGCAAGCAATATGAGCGCGAATAAGGAAGATCTTGAGTTGGCAGATAAGAGTAGTGATGAGGATATGGGCAATAGAACCCCCATTGATGCTCAGGAAGAAAACATCCACCATGATGATAATGACGAATTAATGACTGGAAGGGAATTATTCGGCACACCTAGAAATTCGTTTGAGAGAATTGTACATTCCCACAATCAAAATCATAATCATCTTAACGGGTCCATTCATGACCCTTACGGGCTCCTGCAATACCACCATCACGCTAATAACCATACCAATTCAATGAAAGACGACTCGATATATGCTGACTACTTTACCAACTTATTGAATTACTTTTTAGAAGATGGAAATAATAAGATACGATCTACTCAAGAAAGCAATATACCAGATAAGATATTAAACCCCCCTCAACCTTTGTCTAAAATAAGTATTACCCAACCGGTCGATAATGAAGGGAACACCATTTTCCATTGGGCATGCTCAATGGCAAATAATGGAATGATTGAGTTTTTACTATCAACTTTTGAAAGCTTTTTAAATCCCGATTTGAAAAACAACAGAGGAGAAACACCATTAATGTTCTTGGTGAAATTTAGTAATTCTTACCAATTGAAGAACTTTCCTACATTGTTGGATCTTCTCTTTGATTCTATACTATCTATTGATAACTATGGACGGACTGTGTTACATCATATTGCTCTTGCTGCAAATAACCTCACTAGTGAAGGGTCGATCAATGCAAACACCGATATTCATTCTTTCAAGAAGAATAAAGAAAGGTTTGCCAGGTATTATATGGAATGCTTGTTTGCAAAAATAATCGAATTTCAGGAAATTCGGGAACTGCAAGAAGACGACAATAATAAGAAACTATCACCCAATGACAAGAAAGAACTAATTGCTAAGTTTATCAATCACCAAGATATTGATGGTAATACAGCGTTCCATATAGTTGCTTACAACTTAAACAAAAAATGCATAAAGGTATTCATAAGCTATCATAAATATATCAATTTTCATTTGAAGAATTTGGTTTCTTATACAGTGGAAGAATATTTGGCATCACATAATCATGTATTGAGATTGGATACCAATAGTGATGATTCTAAAGAAATTCAAGACATACAAGAGGAGGCGTATAAATATTTGAATCCTCAGTTCCAAGGTAATAATTTAACAATAAGAAACAATAGCACCCAAAGCTTTGAATCTCAAATGTACTTTTCTAAAATGGCTGTCAATTTACAGAATACAACTGCTAATTTAATAACTGAGAAGTTAACAGAATTAGCATACATAGTTGACAAGGAATTATCGGAGAAAGATGAAAAGTTATTAATGCACTTCAAATTATTAAAAGCCATTGGCCACGAGAAGTTACTATCACAAAGAGCCGTTTTACAGTATTTCAAATTAGAGTATTTGATTGATGATATCATGGCTGACTATGATCAAAACAATAGCGATAATCTCATAATTGACACCGAAAAGGATAAAATTATACAGGACGAGATAAATCGTTTGATAAGTGATTTAAGTTTCCAATTCTTGCAGAGAAAGAACCAGCTTGACCAAGTATTCGCAAAATACAAAGAAATTTCCACTGCGATGCAAAATACGAGGGTGGAAGAACTAGCATCGACTTTATCAAAAGAGGAGACGAGTCTGTCTTCGTCTGAAAACGAAAATCCGTCTGAACAACTTCGCCTATCGCTTGAACTACAAACGCAGATCATTAGGTACAAGCAATTGCTTCAAAAACTTCATAATCAGCATTTGAAGGTGCCCCTTTCTTCGCACGATGATAATACGGACACTAAAGAAAACAAAGAGAATATCAAAGAGGAGTCTCAAACCAACGAAACCGCAGAACCTGCGCCTCACTCAATCATCGCCAAATACCCCAAAGACGATAAACTCCACAAATACTGTAAATTAATAGCGTTGTGCTGCGGCATGAATTTTAACGACGTGGAAAACTCCATAGATTTGATCGAAGAGTCGTTATCAAAATCGGCTCCCAACTTGCAATAATTTTACTTTATAACTGTATTAATATAACTGTACCTATAATTACATAATATTTCACTACTATTCGCTTTACAAAATGTATCATATATAAATTCACTCTTCAAATGTACATTATTCTTACTGATATTAGATTGAAAAGTACCTCAAGTACATCTCAATCCAATATTAATTACTACAGCCTACGGCGTAGTTATGCGCCAACACGTATAATATTATGTAAAGCATACAGCTTTATTTCACATGCTTACATTCATCTTTAAGGTTCCGTAAACTTCTGTCTGTGTCTTTTGCTTCAGCCAGGATGCCTACGGACCATAGTTGTACTGGTACCTTTAATTTGACGCGTATGGCTTATAATTATTACTTACAATTGCTGTAATATGGTCGTCTGAGCCTATCAGAAAATTGCGCGAAGCGTGGCTAAAATTTTTTGCATAACGGCTGATTCTATACATATTTTGACTTATCTATTAATAAAGTTATAAATACAGTTGATATAAAACTTTAAAGGCAGTAAATAGTGGAATTACACGTTCATAGTATTCAAGATGTATTATGGACGGAGGTATTTGAGACTTGTGATGGCAGCGTTGGCTGCATTGGCTGTTTTGTTGTTAGTACTTGCTCTGGCGTCTAGCAAGTATAGTTTTAAAGGATACAATTCAATCCAACTGATTAGACCCACATTCAATTCAGAATCGAAAGGAAATTCATTCTTAAGTAAGATAAGCTCTTTATATTCAAAAGATGGTGATAAGCAAGCTTTGATCGACAAGTTTCCTCTTGATGCTGCGTTGACAGACAACGCGTTATATACGGAGACGAAAATGAAATCGTACGGTGATCCCGCTCCTTATATGTTAGGAAAGCCGGCTGACTTCGAAATCAAGGAGGAAGAAATTTGCAAGCGTTTAGAATACGAATCTGAGTTCCATGTAAGCAAACAAGCGTTTCTTCTTGCGGACTACGAAAGAGTTCAAAAGACATTGAAGGAGAGTCCAGAGTACAACAAGTTGATTAACGAAGCAAACGAAAAGTTCAAACCCACTATTCCTATGGAACATCGGTGGTTTAGATTTGGAGGTTCATCGGTATGGTTACCTCAGTACGAACTTCATTACATGGTGAGTAGAATTCTCTACACGCCATCGGGTATACCGAATAAGTCGTTCGTAAGTTTCCTTTATATCCAATTATTTGACAAGAATTGGGTGGAAATGGACGAGACCACCTTGACTGTACCATACGAAAAAAAAATTATGAGAAGTGTGACTAATGCTGATGGTTCAGTTACTGAAGCACTTCTTGAAACCAAATTAGGATCGAGAGAAGTCACATATCCAAGCTTTTTACCAATATCTTTTGATGTTCAAATGGAAGTTCCAAGTGGAAAGTACTACTTTGGACCCGAAGACCCAAGAATTTTATTGAGAAAGAATTCGTTAGGTTTCGAAGAGCCATTGATCGTGTTCAACATGAAGAATAATAACTTGGTTAAACGTGTTATGCACTTGTATCTCCCATTCTCCAACCATTTGCAAGTCTTAAAGAAGAGATCGGAACCATATGCGTATGTCGAGAAGAATTGGACTCCTTTTATCAGTAAGATAAACGCCGATAAAATCAATTTTATCTATTCCATTGATCCATTGGAAATCCTTACATGTGATGTTGAGACAGCCACTTGCGACTTCTTACAAAAGGCGCTGAAAGAGGACTTCAATTACGTGGGGCCATTAAGAGGGGGTACTCAATTAGTTGATTTACCATTCGATAACCTCATGCCAGATCATATTTTGGACAAATACCGTTTGCCTAAGAACAGAAATATTTACATAGGTTGGGCTAGAGCGCATCTCAACAAATGTGGCTGTGGTGAGTCGATGTACAGACCCAATATGATTATCTTAATTGAAGACTACAATCCCGAAGAAGATAGATTCTACTATAAATTAAGTGACGTCTCCGAATATGTTGATTTTAATGCGCATGTTCCTCCTTGGACCATTCCGAAGTTGGACGACAATGGAAACTTGTTAGAACTGGCTCAACCAAAGGAATGTGAAGGAAGAAACGTCCTTATTCCAAATTCCATCGCTTATTGGGAGATCGAATCCGTCGTTAAGGACACCACGCTGTACCTGCGTAAGTTCTTCGATAGAATACCTACCGACGAACAAATTATCGATTCTCATGCCCATAAAGTTGTTAAGAATGCTCCTAGAGATTCTACAGCAATTCGTCTTTCATTTAATGATTATATGGGAGTTACCTTGTCAGCTGCTGATAGTGATGTCAGTATTGTTCATATCAAGGGTTTGTTAAATTACATCTTAAACTTGCCATCATTGTTCGATGAATCTACTTTGGTCTTGGCCATTTCAAAGTTCCAACCTAGAGGTTATGATATGAATAATAAGTGTGCCATGTCTGCCAGTAGAAAGTATTGTGTTAAATATGCAGAAAGTCACGGAGGTGTTACTAACTACTAGTTTGCCTCAACAATTAACACTACTTTAAACTTCAGAGTATGCTCAGCATCTGTGCTCATAATTGTATTTATATTGATTGCTAGAATATCAGAGACTATGCTATTTCTACAAAGTCTTCTACTTAAGCTATGTTGCTGGGTTGTCACCATGAAATTGCAAGCTACATGAGATCCGAATCCCATATAATCGTTCTGTTTACATCTCAATGCGTTTCGTGCATTATATATATATATATTAATATGTATATATATAGATTCATTTATTACTAACATTCCTTTATTCACTTATTCACTTATCCATATATTCATTAATTCGAATATGTTTATTGAAACATTATCCGTAAGGCCCGTACGGCGCTATCAATTTCGCGTTTCCTTCAATAACCGAGATTAAATTTTATTACTATGAGAATCAAGCTGCAAAAAAAAAACTCGGTAATTGAAAAATTTCACTAGTGTAGTTATATATAAATCAAGATTTATCCAATTCAACATGATCTAATATAATAAAATATACTATATATTCGTTCAAACTATGACAGAAACTTCTAGTATAAAGGATGAATTAAATAGACAATCTTGGAATGAGTTATCTGCATCTTCATCCAGTAGAACTGAGACACCGGTCGCATTTACCGGATACGATGACTCTGATAACGATGGTGAAAAGAAGGCAAGAAGAGGGTCAGTATCTTCACTTAGTAAATCTTTAGATATAGTAAGACGTAGTTTTACTGGCCAGTCGATGACAACCGTAGGATCGGCGAATTATTCGACCAGGGAGATTTTTGGGGAAATGGATAGTGATGAGATTGACTTGCAAAGATATCAGACTAAAAAGTCGATTTTAGATGAGTTGGTCCATAGAACACAGGAATTAGAAGAAAATTATAACCGTTCGGCCTACTATGAGAAAAGAGATGATTTAGAGAGCCAGTATGAGGAATTACCCGAGATGGTAGTGCCGGTTGAAAACAAGGGAGATGAGTTTCAAGACATAGACCCCGAGTTGATTACTTGGGACGGACATGACGACCCTGAAGATCCAAGGAACTGGAATATTGGGGTCAAGATGTATCTTGTTGCGTTTGTATCTATTTACTGTTTAGTGTCACCAATGTCATCTTCAATGCCATCGCCTGCGATTGATACCATTTCCAATGACTTCGGAATCACCTCTTCAGTCGTTGCATCTATGATTATATCGATCCAAATTTTAGCATGGGCAGTAGGACCATTACTCATTGCCCCATTAAGTGAAAACGACAATTTTGGAAGGAAAATTGTCCTTGACGTCTCTATCTGGATGTCTTTCTTCTTCAACTTAGGTTGTGCATTTTCACAAACAACCACTCAAATGATGGTGTGTAGGTTTGTTGGGGGATTATTTGGCTCATCTCCCATTAATATTGGGGCTGGAGTCATATCTGATTTATTCGATGCCAAATCTAGAAACTTTGCTCTTGCAGGGTTTTCTTTAGCACCATTATTAGGACCTGTTATTGCACCAGTCATTGCAGGGTTTATCAGCGACCACATGCAATGGAGGTGGATCTTTTATGTTTTGAGTATCTTTAATGGGGTAGTTGCCATCCTGGGAACTATATTTTACCGAGAGACATATGCTCCAGCATTATTGAAGCGGAAGGCTAAGAAGTTGCGAAAGCAAACAGGTAATGAGAATTTGCATACTATCTACGAAATTACAAATGGAGAAACGTTTTGGGGCAAAATGTATATCACAATGTCTAGACCGTTAAAGTTACTTATTTCCCATCCAATGATTATGGGTTTAGGATCGTTTATGGCGTTCACCTATGGCTTTTTGTATCTCATGATTGTTACATATCCAACCATTTATGGAGACAGTTATGGATTCAGTAAGAGCGTTACAGGATTAATGTATATTCCAATGGGTATTGGATTTGTATTGGGAGTTATCTTTTGGACTTTCATGATAGACAAGGTTTATCGAAATCTTACTAAAAAAAATGGCGGTGTTCCAAAACCCGAGTACAAATTACCATGTCTTTGCACTTCGGGTATTGGTATTGCAATTGGTTTATTTTGGTACGGCTGGTCGGTCCAAAAACAATTGCATTGGATCATGCCTTCGATAGGCTCTGCTATATTTGCTTTTTCATTTATAGCAGTTTTCCAAACAATTCAGAACTATCTTATTGACATGAATAGCTTTACTGCTGCGTCTTCTGTTGCTGCTGCTGCTGTATTTAGGTCGATTCTTGGTTTCATTATGCCCTTAATTGCTCAGCCAATGTACAAGAAGTTAACATACGGATGGGGCAATACCATGTTTGGTTTCATCGCTCTATTACTAGGAATACCCTTCCCTATTTTCTGTTATATGTATGGCGAAAAGCTTAGAAACTGGGCAAACAAAAGATTTGAATTGCAGCAACTTAAGAGAGACGAAAAAAACTTAAAGAAATTAAGGAAGCAAATTTAATAACGACAATGAATAGACTAGATAAAGTAAATTATATAACATAGATTAATATAGATTAACATAAATTAGCATATTAACTTTTTCACCGTAGAATCTTCAGACTTCCAGAAATCGTGCGATCTCAAAATACGGATTTTGATTCAAGAACCATATCAAAAAGTGGAATAACAATCTACTGATATAGCCTAAATGGAACAAATACAGCCCTTGACCCTTGAGACTTTAGAGCCTTTTCCATTGCCTAAATATTTGGATTCGTTACCGATATCAATTATTGAGCAATTCACCCAACTGCACAGCTTAGTACTGGGGTACATCAAACAATTGCCAGCATATCAAAAGTTGAATAAGACGGTATTAGAAGCATTAAATTGGCAAATAACTAAGTTAAATGAAATTAGTGGTATATTGAAGAGCTATAATGCTACAGGTGCACAAATAAAGGAGCAAATAGCAAAATTAAACTCACTTTATAGCGAATTTATTAACTTGGAAACGTATCAATACCAGTTATTGTCGTCAAACTTTAATCAGGAGTTTTTGAAAAATAAATTTCATAAAGTGATAGTTGATAATGACCAAGAATCAAAAAAATTGGTGAAAGAGTTCAAAGGAAATAGTACGGAGGTTTTTGAAAACCTGCTTAATAACTTAATCAAAGATTTCAGGTCGAGTCGAAAGTCATATCATTTGCGAAAAGAGAAGTTAAATAGGTGGAATGAGGAGAGAGTTAGTGGTTTCATATAATACAATAAAAATAACCCATGGTATTATAATGATAATTCGTAGTATCTGATAGATATTTTAAATTGCGAATGAAGTTAGTCGATTAAAGTGGCATAATAAAGGTCTTTTCCATATTATATAAAAGATAACGGAGATATTATTAGTTTCTTCAATGTTGTCTTTTAAATATGAAACAAAACAAATGCATGTCTTGTATATACAACCGTCGAAAGACGTACCTAACAATAAAGTGTATATTGAAAAAACCATATGGAAATATATAGTCAGGGCCTAAATTTTCAAAGCCATCATTGTGATACTAAATGATACCTACTTTAAGCAGAGTTTTTAACCTTCAACAGAATACATCCTTCTGGAGCAGTTTGGCCAAGATAATTCATCAATGCGTATGAATTTTCAGAGTATCTGTAAGGGTCGTTGACATTCTTACATGCAAAGAAGCCATCAGTTGTACCATTCACCTTCAAGTAGTTGTGTTCAAACTCGACCTTATAAGGCTCGAGAACACCAATAGTAGCAAAGTTGCCGGATACTGAGAAAGAGAATTTGATATCATCACTAACATCAAAATACAATTGCTTATCAGAAGAATTGTATTTCAAATCTTGGGAACCTTCACCCAAGAAGAAGTAATTCAACCCAGCTCCTTCGTGAAGACTTGATAATCCTTTTCCGTTGATTTCAGTGTTATCTGATTCGACAGTTAATTTAACATCTTTGATTGAATGCTTAACTGGAGAGGCTTGGGCTAAAGCGGCTAAAGCAGCGACACAGATGGTGGAAATTTTCATTTTGTTTGTTAGCTTAGTAGTATTTGTAATTTGAATGCTTGGATATACTGGATGAGAATTTACCAAACCTGAAAGATTTCGCAGCTATTTATACCAAAGTCCTATTTTGTTTTAATGACTTTAGACCTTGTCTAATTATAGACCATTGCCATAGTAAATAGTAAAGGGGTAGGAATTTGTGTTTTTGTTGCTTTACAATGCTAACCTTGTTAACAACCAACTTCCTGCGCTATTATTGTTCATCTCGCATTAATGTGCCTACGATATCATTACAAATACATGCCAGGGGAATAACCTGGAATAGCCACCAGTTACCCCAGCGCTCATGAAAGACGTCACAACGCATATGTTTACATATTTGCTCCCTCTGTTATTAATTTTACTTCTGGTCACAATAGTTCTATTTTTGGTCGCAGTTCCAAGTCATCGAGCCATATGCGGCATTAATCAACTCTAAGTACTTTTCAATGCACCACTGGGTCCGTGTTCCCACATCGTAAATACAAAGTTAATTATATGGCTTGCTATTCATGCCAACTATGTCTAGTTGAATAGATTGGAATAAATAATCACTTCCCCCTCTAAAATCCTTTCGGAATTCGGCAAAAGCTAGTTGCGTAAAAAAATGTCCGTGCTACTGAATGTTGAAATTTTTAGTCCAAACATATGCTAACCTTGGAATAGCGTGATTCTTTACTAATGCAACACTAATCAGTTTATATACAGTAAATCATATTGTAAACGGTACTTCTAACATCATGTCATCGATGGTAGTTAGCCGAAAAAAAAACGAAATGCATATTTTTAATTAAAATATTCATATGCTAAAGATACGTAGATAGGTGTTTAGGTGATTACGGTGATTACTATATACTCTCTATATATCTGTCGTAGGAGAGGGAAAAGTGATCTTAGGGCCGATTGTTCCACAATTAGCCATTTTTTCTCGGAGTTTGGCTTACCGAATAGCCTTTTTTTTTTTGTCTTCAGCGAGTCCGAACGAGCAAGACATGTCTATGAAAATTGTATATATAATATAATATTTATTGCAATTGGGAACAATTTATCATAAACCGTGTAAAATGTTTAGCAGAATTGGTTCTAGAAGGGTTTTGTCTACAAACAGTAGACTTTTAAACACTATCAAAACGGTGGAAGTGAAGGGAGGTACGGTTGTTCCACCACCTCCTCCTCCTCCTAAAAAACGTAGATCCATTTGGAAAACTACCAAGAGAGTTACGCTTTTTTCGGTCCTTGCTGCTGTCGGGGCTCTTTCTTATAAGATCTACACTGAATCACATCCAGGTGAGCAACAAAAGCAAGTCCCATACTTTGAAAATGGTCAAAAGAAGAAGACTCTTGTTTTATTAGGATCAGGATGGGGTTCTATTTCCTTGTTGAAGAATTTGGATACTACATTGTACAATGTTGTTGTAGTTTCTCCAAGAAACTATTTCCTTTTCACTCCTTTATTACCTTCTTGTCCTACCGGTACTGTTGAATTGAGATCTATTATTGAGCCAGTGAGATCTATTACTAGAAGATCACCAGGTGAAGTTCTTTACTTGGAAGCCGAAGCCACTGACATTGATCCTGTTAACAACAAGATCACTATCAAGCAATCGACTACTGTCCATTCTGGTCATTCTGGTAAGGATACCAGTTCTTCGAAGTCTACTGTGTCTGAATATACTGGAATTGAGGATATTACTACGTCCCTTAATTATGATTATTTAGTTGTTGGTGTTGGTGCTCAACCTTCTACTTTTGGTATTCCTGGTGTTGCTGAACATTCTACTTTCTTGAAAGAAGTGAGTGATTCTATGAGTATTAGAAAGAGATTGATGGATGTTATTGAAGCTGCCAATATCTTGCCAAAGGGTGATGAAGAAAGAAAGAGATTGTTGTCTATTGTTGTCTGCGGTGGTGGTCCAACTGGTGTTGAGGTTGCTGGTGAATTGCAGGATTATATTGATCAAGATTTGAAAAAATGGATGCCAGAAGTTGCTTCTGAATTGAAGGTTATTTTAGTCGAGGCATTACCTAATGTCTTGAATATGTTCAACAAAAAATTAGTCGAATATACCAAGCAGGTTTTCCAAGATACCAATATTGACTTGAAAACGAACACTATGGTCAAAAAAGTTAGCGATAAGCATGTTGTTTGTCTGATTAAAGATCCAAAGGATGGCTCTACTGAAATCCAAGAGATCCCTTATGGTATGTTGATTTGGGCTACTGGTAATGCTCCTAGAGCAATTACCCATAACTTGACATCTAAAATTGATGAACAAAGAAACGCCAGAAGAGGTTTGTTGGTGGATGAAAGATTATTGGTTGATGGATCTGATAATATTTATGCTTTGGGAGATTGTACTTTTACTAAATATGCTCCAACTGCCCAGGTTGCCTTCCAAGAGGGTACTTTCTTAGCTAAGCATTTTGAAAAGATCCATGAACTTGAAGCAATTAAATTCACCATGCAGAATCCAACTTCAACTGACAACGTTGAAAGATTGAAGAAGAAATTTTCTATCTTACAAGAAAAATTACCTGTCTTCGAATATGTTAACCAAGGTGCATTAGCTTATATCGGTTCTGAAAAGGCTGTTGCTGACTTGGTCTGGGGTGATTGGTCTAATGTCACTACTGGTGGTACTTTAACTTTCTTATTCTGGAGATCTGCATACGTCTACATGTGTCTTTCTGTAAAGAACCAAGTCTTGGTCTGTTTGGATTGGGTCAAAGTCTCATTATTTGGAAGAGATTGCTCTAAAGAATAATCTATTTAAATAATAATTACTAAATACTAGATTTTCATATGCTTTAAATTAAATGTAATAATAAGTAGTTAATTTTTGTATAAAATTTCAAGACATTTAGGAAAAGTTATAAATATGTTCGTTTAATTTATAGTCCAAAATAAATTGAACGCCTGCGTAGCGTAATGGTTAACGCGTTTGACTTCTAATCAAAAGATTGCGGGTTCGACTCCCGCCGTGGGTTTGATTTTTTTTTTGTCCTACAAATTTTTCCGAAACAAAAAGTTGTGATAATAAATATGTATAGAGAGTAAAGATATTAGAAGTAGAAATCTGAATCATGATCGTCGAAATCAAGTTTCTCATCGTCGTCAAAGTCATCTGACATGAACTTTTCTTTAGGGTACTTTTCCGTAGGATATCCAGGTGCTTTCTCGTTAGGGAATCTCTGGCTGGTAAGATTATTATAAGGATGAGCACCAGCACTCTGGTTTCCTCTGTTTTCGAAATGAAATGCATTATTATTAGGTTTCTCGTCATCGCTGTGGTAATATTCTGCGTCTCCTGTTGAAGAAGTGATCTCGTCTGACTCATTATCTGAGGGATAGTACGTTTGTTCAGCCGTAATAATAGACCTAATTTTAGCCGGTAAAACATCTGGTCTATAAAATCTTAAGTCAACTCTGCCGACAAGATAGACTATATTAACGAAAACTTCCAATACTCCCCAGCACATGTATGCGGCAATTGGATTGCATGCTGGACCTGCATCTCTGTTCTCTCTTGCTTGAAACACTGCTACAGCTCTGACTATAGATTCCACAAAGATTGCCAAAGTGGTGAACATGATAATAGCTAAGGATTTGTTATGAGCCAAAGTACCTCTTTGATTAGTTAAACCTTCGACCATCTTGTAATGATGATGCGTCGAAGCAATAACCCTAATTGCGTGACGGTGATTATGGTTTCTCTTCATAAATGTATCTTCGGCCTCCTGCGCAGCATTAGGACGAACAAAATAAAACGGATGGAACGATTCAATCCACCATGGTTGGTACGTGTATAAGTTTTCATCCTTCGCGGTTGGCTTGAAGAAATAAGACAAGGAGATTAAACTAACAGCTGTTAATGAATACAATATAATCAAGATAGCACTCACTTTGACCACATTCTTATAGCTCTCGTACGCATAGGTGGATAATAAGTATACATATGGCACAGCTGATGACACAATAGTCATCGCGATAACAGCAGCAACAACAGCATAAAGCAAGTACATAGTATTGTTAAACAACTTTCTGGAACCACCAACAGGATGTCTCCATGTAAACAATCTTTGGGCCAATATCAAATTGACTGCAACCAAGATAATCGACGACAAAATTAACAACACCTCATCCGCAATTCCTAATTGCACCTTGGTAATATCTTTAGCCCACACAATCCTAAGCGTCCACCCGATCACCTTCAATACACAATAAAACATCCATATCAACGATAAATAGAAATAGTGTCCTCTAGAAGAGTTAATGAGGAATAATACTAAATGCGCAATACCGATTACTGCGAAACATGCTAAGAACACAGCACTGGGTGCGATATCCTTGTTATCAGGATATGAGCCAAACAAGTTGTTTTGTAATCCCATAGTATATTCAACCATTACTGGTGGAATGTTATTTCCTAACAAATTGTGTGCTTGGTTTACTAAAACGTAAATACCAGTACCGTCTGCAGCACCATTATTAGTGGCCCTCAATAAGTGTAATAAGCCACCTACAGCCGAATTATCATCAGTTCCACTCATTTGCTCCTATGACTCTATATTAACGATATCAATAATTTTTACTTTTCTATAGTATATATATAAGTGATGGTATGTGACCCCGCTCCATAATAATTCCTGAGAGATGTAAATCTCCCTAATAGGCATAAAGTCCTTTATTGTCAATTTTAGTGAGCATATGATTCAAGAACATCAAAACTTCCCCAAATAAAATTTCTCACCATAATGTACTAATTAGGAATAAACAGGATATGCAGCATAAAAAATATAATCAAATGAATTTAGGGAATTATATCATATTAAATAGAGTACTCTACGGGGTAGAGTGGAGTGGAGAATTAGAGGTATATATATATATATATAAAGAGAAAAATAATTAGGTGTGGAGGTATAAACTTTAGGACAAAGAATCAGAAATAAAATTCAGATTCGTTATCATCTGTGACAACTTCTTGTTTTTCATGCTTGTTCTCATAGTAATTAGGAGGTAAAGACTCAGAGTCGCTGAAATCGAATTCAGATTGGTCGAGGGACATGTTGTCACCGTCAAGCGTAGCCTGTTCTGAAGGAGAAGGCATGACAGAAGGATGAGTAGTTTGCTCTGCAGTGATAATGGCTCTGACGGCTGCAGGTAAGACATCAGGTCTATAGAATCTCAAATCAACCCTACCAATGATGTAGGACAAATTTATGACAGTTTCCAAAAGTCCCCACATTATGTACATGGCGACAGGATCACAAACTGGGCCCTCGTCCCTGTTGAATTTTGCTTGGAAAACAGCCACTGCTCTCAAAACAGAACCTACGAAAAGGAAAAGCGTGGACAGACATATAATCAACAAGGAGGTGTTGTGCTTCAAGTTACCTCTCTCATTACTCAAACCTTCAACTATTTTGTAATGGTGGTGAGTTGCAGCAATAACACGAATGGCATGACGATGGTTACGGTTTCTTTTCATAAATGTTTCTTCAGCCTCCTGGGCAGCGTGAGGACGAACAAAATAGAATGGATGGAATGATTCAATCCACCATGGTTGATATGTGTACAAGTTTTCATCCTTTCTGGTTGGCTTGAAGAAATACGATAAAGCAATCAAACTGACAGCCGTCAAAGTGTATAATATAATCAAAATAGCACTTGCTTGGACAACTTTCTGGTAGCTCTTGTATGTTTTCTCAGATAAATAATACAAATATGGTATGGCGGATGCAACGATAGTCATGGCGATGACCCCGAGAACAACAATATAAAGACCAATCATGATGGACCAGAAAAGTTTTCTGGAACCACCAACTGGATGTCTCCAAGTAAACAATCTTTGTGCTAGAATCAAGTTAATCGAAACAAGTATAATCGACGGAATAATCAAAAACACCTCATTGGCAATCCCCATTTGTGTTACCGTGATATTTCTAGCCCAAGCTATCCTAAGAGCCCATCCAACCACTCTAGTTATACAGTACCCAAACCAGCCCATCGATAACCAGAAATAATGTCCTCTTGAAAAGTTTATGCAAAAAATTATCAAATGCAATATTCCCAATATCGCAAACACTGCTGTGAAAATGGCCGATGGTACTACATCAGATTCATCTGGATAAGATCCAAATAAATTTATTTGTGTTCCTAAGGTATAATTGACTAATACTGGTGAAATATGTTTTCCTAATAGATTATGGGCTTGATCAACATTCAATCTAATACCAGTGCCTTCAGCTGCTCCATTATTGGTAGCCAGCAAGAACATCATCAACCCATGTGTTGCAGAATAATCGTCACTCATTATGGGTTATTTGATGTTAGGTTAGCTATATTCGATGATAATACTATAGCTTTGTTTCTTTTGAAAGGATGATTCATTATGAATGATTTAGTCCCCCCAGATGCTTGTAATTAATTTTTGTCAGCTGCGAAATGTTGATGCTTATGAGTTTCCTAATCGGGTAATTTTTTTATAAATGATTTCCTAATTCATATTCTGGACCAACTGTACGATTGGAACAATAGGGATGGATCCTGAAAACTGTTATTAATTAACGGATTGGGATAAAAACGTTTGTTGACATTTTGGCAAATGAATGGCCTTCACTGTTCTTTTTTCAGTAATATGGTCAACATTGGCCAATTGTGAAATTTGAGAATAGTCACTATGGGAGTATTGACTAGGTTATGAGTAATCTTACAGAGGTTTTAATACAGTTACTGGTATGCTGGCAAGAAGAGTAAACTTTGAGGTTGACTTTAGTAAAAGTTTAGAACTATGGAAATGTAGATGAAATGTGATGAAATGTAGGTCTTGATATGTGAAGAACGTACTAGCAAAGTGCCATCGGAGTGCGTCCATAGGTCAGATGCGAAGTAGATGTAAGCGAAGAGAGAGGTGTAGGAAGAAGATTCGTTGGTTTTTGGTATATCTGTTTCTACGTATTTGTGATAATCTAAAATTGCAAAATACCAAAAATGCTGCGTACTCATTGTGCTTCTCACCAAAATCATTCACTTCTTTTGTATATTAGTGCCATATATGAGAATTGTATTTGAAGAGGGTTAGCTAACATAGTACCGAGAAATTGAGCAATTCTAGTGGTCTATGCGTGGTTAATTGTTTGCATGTACATATAGTAGAGCAGAAATTTAAGACCAAATAGCTACCTAAAATGTATATAAGATCCAAAGGACACCCAGTGGTATAAATGGCAATTAGAATCAACTCTAGACTTAAGTAATGTGTATATATTTATTTTTAGAGCAATTCATCGATAAGTGGGAATAAATTCGTTCTGGTCTACAGGTCGATACATTTTAGCCTTGTAATAGCTAAGAAAAAAAGTAAAATAAGGAGGAATTAGAGAACAACCCATTCAACCAGAATTCTAATAACACAGTAGTATAACTATAACTCAACAAAAAAGTTTGCAAATGGTGAAAAAAGACTAAAAAGGGTGTTGAAATACATTTTGAGTCCGTTACTGAAAAATTCCATAAAATGTCACAAACTCGCCAGAAAGCACTTTTCTTATCATAAACACATTTGATATACTACTTGATTCGGTACCTAGTCATGCCTACTACCAAGATTGATTATAACGTTGCTCATAATATACTAAATGAAAAAGCTCCCAATGAAGGTGACCTGATAGAGAACGATGATATCATATCTACGCCATATGGTTTATCGATCTTGGAGATTCAAGGCGAACTAAACCTCCCCAAGTCGTTTCCCCAACCCAATGAGAATCACAAATCCGAATACTTAGAAAATTTTGTTCGGGTCAATGATGTGTACGAAGCTGTGAAGTTTGGGAGACTAGAATTCGACCCTAAGAATCAGTCCAACGTGACACTATATATTGGGAAGTCTCAGAGATTGCTAGGATCGATGGTTGATTTAGAAACGCCATTAGCAGTACTAAGAATAAAAACTAACAATACAGATAACAAGGACACAGAGGATGGTGATCTTGAAGCAAACAGAGATGATAGCATAAAAATCGTGGATATTGTAAAGAAAAAGATAATATTTAAACAGAGGCCTTTACCTATTATGTAACGCGTTATGCATTAATTGAAATATATCTAATATTTATAGTTTTGGAGCAAATTCAACCAAATTAAACATAGGATCTGGTTCAGGTTTGTTGATTTCGGATACATATACTAAGTTTTCGTAAATCTTACGAAGATCCGAGTCCTCAAATTTCAACTCGTTTTTCATATAGTTAATAATGCTGCCATATTTTTCATTGAATAATTCAATGGTAGCAAGCATTGCTTCGTACCTCGAGCTAATTAAGTTTTCAAACCCGTCTTCTTCGATCTTCCAGCCTTTTCTTCCTTGTGCAATAATTTGTGCAACATCTTCAACATTCTCCATTTTAGCTTGAAACTTTTCTAAAGTCTTTACAAATTTATCTCTAATAGATGCATGTTCTTTCTTAAGTCCCACTGTAGTCAATTCATATTCCTTGGCAATAGTGTGCTTGTCCACCCCAAGAAATAACAATATAAGCATACTTAAAACTCCGGTACGATCTTTACCAGCAGTACAGTGGAAAACAAAGCTCGAGGCGGGAACTTCATCTCGAATGAATTCAAACACCTGTCTAAAAGCACTAGTGCCATTTTCTAAAATATCCTCATAGACGTTAACATACGTATACCAACTAGTCATTAAATTAGTATATCTAATAGCAATAACTTCCGGTGAATAATCAGTTTCACTAAAAACTGGAGCATGTATTCTTTTAATTCCATGCTTCTCTAAGTTCTGTGGAGAACCATCATTATCAATCTCTATTGACGATCTAAAATCAAACATAGCCTTGACATTTAGCTTTTTAAGTTCTTTCAAACCTGTTTCTGTAATATCAGCGGTATTTGCACAACGAAAAGCTATGTGAGGTCTAACATAGTAATGTGATTCATTATCATAGTTTGGTAAGCGGAACGTAGGATTGTTAATCCTCCATGCTCCGATATCTCTAAAATTGGAAATGCCCTCGATTTGCTTCCATCTTGGGATGTACCCAACATTGAAACTGCGGTATAAGAACCTATTCAATTCATTTTCAGGTTTTAAGTAATCTACGACAAGAGAAGTAACCATCACATTAAAGTTTACCAACTTTTTATTATTCAATGGTAGATTTTGAGGATTGTATTCCTCTGCATCATCGTCTGTCTCAATTGCTTCGATACCATAAAAGTTATGATCAGCAAACGGGATTAGCTCCAAATGATGTGAATAGGGTCCCCTGTTTAATACATTTGCGTAGAATGAACCATCATTAACAGGAATAATCCTATCTTCCAAGCCATATATACTTAAAACAGAAAAATCCGTTGATAAATCACGAAGAGCTGACATATCAGGGGCAGCCAAAGAGTCAATTTCGTTCTTTGAAACATAAACCTTCTGAATTTGTCCATGTCTTAAACTCCGAAGATACGCCCCTTCAAAACCTTCTGGATATCGTTCATAAACTGTTTCTGATCTATATCTGGCAGAACAGTTGATGAGGTTAGGAATAACAATCGCTTTGGATGGATTGGAAGATTTCAAGATCCTATCCTGTTCTAAGGCCCACAAGAACATAGCTACACCTCCTCTGGAGTGCCCTATCATTGACGATACCATGAATCTCATACCCAAAGGATTCTGCGTGGGATCTAACATAAACTCAGCACTCGCTTGTATATCTTCAATGTCTTGTTGTATAATTCTGGCTACTTTTTCATCTGCATTATCGGCTGAACTTCCACACCCTCTAAAATCTATTCTTAACGAGTAAATCCCCAAGTCGGAAGCTAATTTATGAGCCAACAATTTCTGATAGCAATAATTCCTATGTCCTCCTTGTCCATGTAGAATTATAGCTGCTTTATTCGTTGTAGGAGCATAGTTCTTTTCGTATGGATTTTCAAAATCAGCCGAATGTGGAACTGTTAAGGTTGCAGATACTCCTTTCCCTAGGGTCACTTCAATCTCTCGAGGTACACTCACAGTCATCCTTTTGTTTGAATAATAGTATAAGGAATAATATAAAGAACAAAATGAATTTTACTAAAGAATTAAGTAGGAGAGAATAATATGGAGTAAAGAGCTCGGTCCATGTGAAAGCTGAGAATTTCAGATTTTAGAAATGCATTCTTATCTAGATCTACTGAAAATGAATGATAAAAGGCATGAAGATAGACATGTATACTCACAATTAGGACAGAATCTTATTCAAAGACATTCAGATCAACTTTCTACTCAGTTGTCAGTCTTTCAATCGGCCATAATTAATTTTGGCAGTGATCATGGAGACGAAATAAGACGAAATCCAGAATTCCGTAATAAATTTACCCAGATGTGTCAACTGATAGGGGTTGATCCGCTTGAATTGTTGATATACAGTAACTCTAAGAACTCAAAGTCTCGAAATGAAGATTTTTATATTGGCCTATCGGTACGGATAGTAGAAGTGTGTCAGGAAACGAGAGATGTTAATGGAGGATTGATTTCAATGAAAGAATTATTATCACGGCTACAGGAAAATGTGAACCTAGAAACTCTGATAAAGGAGGGTGAGATTCAGCAGGCATTGTCTATTCTATTCTCGTTGGGAAATGGCTATGAGATATTGAATATTAATGGTAAGAAATGGCTAAAGTTCTCATCAGCTACAAGCGGTAACACAAATATATCGAACGACCAAAAGAAGATATACGAGGCTTGTGGATTTATGGGTGGGTTTGTAACATATAGATTATTAATCGATAATTACGGATGGGATAAAATACGGTGTAAAACCGTCATCGATCAAATGATTATGGATGGGTTTTTATGGATTGACTCTCAAGGTATCGACGGGGAAGTACAATATTGGGAACCATCTTGGATTTCTAATTAATAGGAATGAAATATATTAATGAATTTACTTACTCAGTAGCTTGCTGAAGCTTACGCTTCTTTTTTTCGTTATATCTAGCATTGACCAGCTCGAATGTCTCTGCCACTTCTCTCTTAGCTATTGGTACATACTTTCTGAAATTACGGCCAACACCATCTCCAACATTTATATGCCCTGAACCAGGTAATGACTTCAAATTGGTGGTATCCTGACTAGAGAAGCTTTGTAACATTTCTACTATATGCGCCTTTACGTCGTAGTCGAAGACCAACCCTCTCATATTTGCATTATCTTTAAAGATCTTTCCGGTGTTATTCTTAAAGTCTTGAATATCCAACCACTCCATTTTTGGGAACACACAATCATATAACACAAGTGGCACATCATTAGCCATTTCAAATGACGGTTTACCTGGGAATTTTTCAACATCAACCAAATCATTGATAATAGAGGGGGATTCCAATTTCTGACCTATAGAAAATAGGACTGCCATCATACAGCGAACTTGATGCCATAAGAAAGCATTACCTTTTAAGTCAAACATGTAGAAATCATCTCGGAGATGAATTATATTTGCACTAAGAACTTCTCTCTTATAATTAGTTATTTGTTTAGATCCATCTATTTTACAGAAATTTCTAAAATCATGTAGCCCTTCATATCTTTTAGCACCTTCTTGCATCAATTCTAAGTCTAAGTCATACTTTCTAAAGAGGTAACGGTAATGTCTGTAAGAACAACTGAAGCGGGCATCAAACTTCGGTGGTGGTCTCAAGCAAACAGCGGTGATCCGAATATCAGTGGGCAACAAAGAATTTAATATAGCAAGGTAGGGCAACTCCTTGTCATCATTTTCACTGGAAGCCTGGTCTTCTGGAGTCAAATTTGATCTAACATCCAAAGAAATCACTTGATTCATAGCACTCACACCTTTATCAGTTCTACCACAACGACTAAAATTGCAACACGCCGGGTCTACTTGTGTTATCAACTTGGATTTAGTCAAGGCTTTCAATATTTCTTCTTCAACAGTAGGTAATGGTGTTGGTTCGTACTGGAAATTCAAACCATTGTAGTCCCATCCTACATATGCAAATCTTAATGCAATAAAACGTTTGTTATATTTTGAAAAATCAAATTCCTTAGGCTTATTTTTACTTATACGCTTATTTTTGTTCTCGCCAGTCTTAGTATCTTTGTTTTCACTATTATCGTTACTAGTGCTTGTAGTGCCTGTCTCTTTTTCGTTTCTGGACTCTAACTCTCTGATTTTCTCTATTAATTGTGTTTTCGACCACCTTTCATAGTCCATAGAACGAGAGACTTGCGTCTTCTCAGCATTCCAGACATAACTAATGGCCCTCTTAAGCATTTTTCCGAGTTATTATTGGTATATGGGGTATTTGGATGTACGCTGCGTAAAATACTTGATCGTCTCATCTCATCTCAATTTTTTTTATGTAGTGATAATTTAGATTATTCACGACTAGACAGAAAGAAAGGAATCTTTATATAACTCGGCACATTTAGGCATTAGTACAATTATGGAGACTAGAGAAGGATCATTGACATGGAGTGTCTTGAAGTGTGACCTTCATCCTTGGATTAAGGAAGCCATTAAATCGTTAGGGTATCCTACTATGACACCAGTTCAGGCATCAACGATTCCTTTATTCAGTGGAAATAAAGATGTGGTAGTTGAAGCTGTTACAGGTTCTGGTAAGACTTTAGCGTTTGTTATACCGGTATTACAAAAGATATCAAACCGCTTATATAACATTGATGAAGAAGGTGATGGACCTGAACCAGTGAAAAAAGGTCATATGCTTAGTATTATTCTTTCTCCTACTAGAGAATTAGCAAAACAGATTCAAACCGTGTTTGACAAAGTTCTTGAATATCTCCCAGAGGAGAAGACAGCTATAAAGACACAGCTATTGGTTGGATCATTATCAAGCGTTAGAGAAGATATTGATTATTTTCTCACCAATAAAACACATATATTAATAGCCACACCGGGTAGATTGTTGGACTTTTTGTCTTCAAATTATGTGAAAACCAATTCCGTTGAAATAGCAGTGTTGGATGAAGCAGATAAGCTTTTAGATATATCGTTTGAAAGAGATGTGATTAAAATATTGAAACAATTGCCTAAGCAACGTCGTACTGGATTATTTTCTGCAACGATATCGTCCGCAGGAGATACCATTTTTAGAACTGGTATGGCAAACCCTGTGAAGATTGTTGTGAAGTCAAAGAACTCGAAAAATTCAGCACCATCTTCATTGAATGTAAGCTATATGAATGTGGAACCCGAGACTAAAATATCTACATTAATTGCATTACTAAAAGATTATCGTTTTCAAAAATGTATAGTATACTTTCCAACTTGTACATCTGTGAAACACTTTTATTCGGTATTTCAAAAGTTAATTAACACAGAAGATGAAGATCAATTTAAGTTTTTTTCTTTGCATGGCCAGCTTTCAACTAAACCTCGTTTAAAGACATTGCAAAACTTTGCTGAGGGTGATTCTATGCTTAATAAACATGTGCTATTAACCACAGATGTTGCAGCTAGAGGTATTGATATCCCTGATGTTGATTTAGTTATTCAGCTTGACCCCCCAACTGATCCTGATGTGTTCTTCCATAGATGTGGTAGAACAGGTAGAGCTAATAAAGTAGGACAAGCGATAGTGATGTTGAACAACAATAGCAGAGAGGAAGATTATGTAAATTTTATGGAAGTTAAAGGAATGACAATGGACAATATGGAATGCCCTGATATTTCAAAAACCCACAATAAATTTCAAAAACAATTCAGAAAGTACATGCTAGAGGATAGAGCTAGACATGAATTAGCAATAAAATCCTACGTTGGATTTATTAGATACTATTCTAAGCACATGGCATCGTCAATTTTCAGATTACAAACATTGGACTATATCGGGCTCGGTAGAATGTATGGATTATTGAGATTACCCAAAATGCCTGAATCTAGATATATCCCAAACGACAAAATGCCAGAAGATGGATGGTTAGGTGACGTTATAGATATGGATAAGTTTGAGTATGCAGATAAGCAAAAGGAAGAATCGAGGATGAAGAATTTAGAAGAAGACAAAGCAAGAAAAATAAACGATGCAAAGAAAAGGAAAGAGCTTAAAGCTAAGAATGAAGCCTGGTCGAGTAAAACAGATAAGATAGAAACGAAACAAGAAAGAAGGGAGAAGATGAAAAGAAAAAGAGAAGCAATTGAAAAACAAATAATGGAGGATTCTTCGTCAGATGAAGAAACTCAAGTAGATTGGAAGGAGATGGTTAAAACTAACAAGAAGAAAAAGACTACATCAGATAGCATGCAAGGATCATTTGATGATTTGTAGATTATAAATTAATGTATATACAAATATTATATTTTCCACTTTTCACTAATTGAATGTATACCATCGAAAACATATAGGTTATCAAGGGGTGTATACTGAGACGTAGTAATTTTTAATATTTCTTGACTTGCAACACCTCCTAAGAGACTGCTTATATTATGATAATCAGGTGAAGGATGACTTAAAATTTCTTTAAAAGTTATATGTAAGGTCTCAGGTATTTCAGATGAAGGGTCAGCATAATAACGCTTGAAGACTTCAATAAATTCATCCAAGTTCTGAATATTAGGACTAGTGTGGTATTGTTCAATATAACTATTGAATGAAAGTAGGGCGAAATGTATGCTCAATATATCACATCCTTCTTCCTCAGACCCTGAAAGAACATTAGATATCATTTTTTGATTAAATAGCTCTCTAGACCCTTTGGCAACATATAAAAACTGTGTATTTTTGCAAAAACTTAAAATTGAGTCATGGTTAATATCATCTGCCGTCCTCCCAATGGAGTTTAAAATTTCAATAACTTCTTCAGTAAATAACTTTTGGTCATTTATGGCTTTATCTCGGTATATCTTCTGTAACGTGATGTAACTAAGGGTATCAGACGCCATATCTGGAATGGCATACGGTAATGGTAACTTGTTCGTTTTTGCAACAAAATTCTTCAAGGCTTTTATGTAAATCCAGAATATCGATGTCGTTAAATTTATATTTTCATCCTTTATATTCTCGTCTTTAAATAATTCAAGAACTGTTTGGGGAATTTGGGTAATTTGTAAAGCCCGATGAATACTTTTTAATGCTTCTATGAAGTTGCTTTCATTGCCAATATTTCTTGACATAGATTCCACATGTTTACGGAACTCTTTCTTCTCTTGATAATTCTTAGGCAGGGCATTGTTATGGGAAGTTTTCCAAGACTGTAATGCTTTTATAAATATTACGATATATGGAACATGTGCATGTTCCGTATCATCTAGATCATCCATGTTAATTGAATCAACATATTCTTGTAATTCGGGCCATGGATGGTCAATTCTCAAGTCAAAGAATTTAGCTGGATCGTGTGTTTCAATAACAGTAGTTTCCTTTAAGATAAGTTGCAACGATCCATAAAAGCCAATTGTATTGACAAAGAATAAAGGAATGTTTTTGTCCCATAATATGTCTTTCAATCTATCCAAGTCTTCTCTAGGTACGTAATTGCTTACTACTACAATATTGAAAGAGTCCCAGAACTGCACAGACTCTTGTCTCAACACATTACTAAGTGAATCTTCAATGGCATTACCAACCACCTCACTATTTAATTCCTTCAATTCTCGAACCATAGCCTTTGCTGCATTATCACCTAGATCCTGATGTGCTAAGAAAAAGTTACCAGATAAACTGTTTTCAGTTACTTCAGTATTATCGATAATAGTAAACTCTCCAATTCCCGGTAACACAAGGTTCTTTAATAATTCAGAACCTGTAGAAGTAGCATTAATTAGACATATGTGTGAGCTCTCCAAGTTTGATTGACCAGAGTTCCCCCATAACCTCAATTGCCTATCATATCTGCTTTGTTTATCTATCGTCATACCTGGCTGATTGATCTTTATCTTAAGCACGTAGACTGAGATTTGATAATATAGATAAAAAAAATTACACAAACTCCTGTTCAAAGATTAGATTAATTCAATTTATTCTACAATGTAATAGACTATGTAATTATACACTTGCTATCCCCCACAATTTCATCGTACCTTTCTTTGTCTCGTTCTTTAAGCTTTTCTTTAACTTCTAAGGGAAAATATTGCTTCATTAATGCCATGGCTTCTACATCTAAGTTTGTACTATCGGCGTAAGCGATAGAATTTTCACGTCTACAGATAGGACAATCAACCTTTTTCTGTTGCTTAAGTTTGACTAGACACCGCACGCAAAATATATGACCACAGTTTAATTTGATAGGTTTGAAGGCGACAGATGTACAGATGGGACAGGTGTAGTCGTCTAATTGAGGGACTAGGGTTAGAATGGATGATTGTATAACATAACAAATGGATTGAGCTATTGAGGAACCAGTAATAAAGATGTGGTCATTGGATATCAATTTTGGAAATTTATATTTCACACCCAAGGATGTCTGCTTGTCGAATTTTTTTAAGATCTTTCTGAAAGCGGTTGAATTGATTGACTGGAACTGGAGAACCTTTAGCAAGTGAAAATTCATATTCAAAAATTGATTGAATGCGACCATGCTCTTTTTATTTTGAAATTGATCTGTCAATGATGTTTTTTCGACACGTCTGATAAACTCATTTAAATTACGTTTCACCTGCTCGCCGTTTCTTTCGGAGGCAGAAACAGAAGTTTCGTTGTACTTGAAATAAACCTCTGAATCCAAGTATATCTTGAAAAGCTCTCTCCATTTATAAAGATCCGACTTTCTAAGCGGTCCTTTGGCAGGATTAGCCAATTTTTGAATTGACTCACTTATGGCGTTGACTTCTTGTATTAATTTTGTTTCTTCATCTTGCTTCAACTTGTCAAGATTCTCCAATTCTCCATTAAGCATTTGGAAGAATTGGGAGTCTGATTTCAACATGATTAACATTTCGCTTCTCTTACTTGACTTATCCAAATTCTTCCCCACAATTTGCTCAAGACAGTCTTCAGGAATGGGCGACCCTTCTCTTCTAGATCCATGAGGCGATAACACCTGGTCCTCATTCAACTCATATATTCTATTGCTAACACTTTCAATAATACTGTCGTCGTTGTCTATTAACGTCTCAATTTTCGATTTCAACCGCAACCAAATCTCGTTGATATGATCGTCAGAAACGTCTGCATTATTATAGTCAATACTGATCTTCAACATGGGTATAATGTGGTCACTTTGGTCAAAATTTGACTTTGTCAACGTATATTCTGCTACCACAGGGTTGTTTGGCGTGTATTCATTATTATCCATCTCAACCACTTGATGCCTGGTTTTGTCATCTATGATCAACTTCAACGTATTTTGCTCTAGTCCTAAAAATTGAAGCTCACTTACTACCTTGTTAATACATTTTTTTAAAGACTTATACTGAATAGCCGCCTCAATCCATTCTTCTGGGATATCTTCTTCGATAAGCGTTTGCTCCAAAACTTTAGCAAATTTCATAGTAAAAGCTGCAATTTATTATTTAATATCTAGTTCAATACTATAAAATGCCATAATGTTATCGACAGGTTATCAACTAGAGAGTATCCAATATTAATATAGATGTAGGAATAGCCTTAGACGAAGAGTAAAAAAATAAATTATAAAAATCATACGCACGTGCGAAAGACGACATTACCCTGTCAATATACGACATCGTATATAATGTCGCGGATTTCTAAAATAACGAAAAAGAAACAAAAAAAGAAGTTTTCCGATACCGGGAGTCGAACCCGGGTCTGCTCGGTGAAAGCGAACCGTGCTAGCCGTTACACTATATCGGAGAATTGTTGAAAGTATAGTTCTTGTGAAGGCTCAAGAGACTCGCATGAAATTGCATGTTTTATTCCTCTCTTAACGCTGTAATTGGAGTTGTAATAATACAAAACAACATGTTGTGAAGTATAGGATGACTAGAATGGAAATTATCATTAGTTTTTAGTTGAATACCAAAGAACTAATAGGAGATTACAAATTTTAGAGCTCATTGTATATAATTATTGAAATTAGGGGCTGAAACATTTTGGAAAATGAAGAAGAGAAATGCAATATACATAATACCAATATTATATTGATATAATGCAGTTATTATTACTATGCGGTCTTGAATACTGCCAATATATAAGTTCTTACGAGAATAAATTCATTTTCAGTATTGTAATGCTCTTGTTACAGATAAGATAAGAAATAGATCCCGTGTAGTTATAGATTATATATAGAGAAGATAGAAAATAGACTCTTATAGGAAGAATCCATGTTGTCTAAGAGGAATATTAGACGTTGGCGATTATTTTGCAATCTTTAACACGCAGAAGAACCTTCTGGAAACCACGCGCAGAAGTCGACCTAAAATCTTTGACTAGTAAATCTGATCAGTGATTCCTTAAATAAGCGCCACTTGAAGCATCAAATTTATACTCAGAAGCTAAGCAGCATTATGGATTTAGAATTAGAACCTACATTAGAATCTATTGTTCAACACGACTCTTTGAAGTGGATTTTCGTCGGTGGTAAAGGTGGTGTTGGTAAAACGACCACCTCATCATCTGTTGCAGTACAATTAGCATTAGCCAAACCTAATGAACAGTTTTTACTTATTTCAACAGATCCAGCACACAACTTGTCTGATGCTTTTTGTCAAAAGTTCGGTAAGGATGCTAGAAAGGTTGAAGGATTGCCAAATTTGTCATGTATGGAAATCGACCCAGAAGCAGCAATGTCTGATTTACAACAACAAGCATCACAATACAACAATGATCCAAATGATCCGTTAAAGAGCATGATGAACGATATGACTGGATCAATTCCAGGTATCGATGAAGCTTTATCTTTTATGGAAGTTTTGAAGCATATCAAGAACCAAAAGGTTCTCGAAGGTGATGATAACACGAATGCTATTTCCTACAAAACTATTATATTTGACACAGCACCAACTGGTCACACATTGCGTTTCTTGCAATTGCCATCGACCTTAGAGAAATTATTATCAAAATTCAAAGACTTATCTGGTAAGTTGGGCCCTATGTTGAGCATGATGGGTGGTGGCCAACAACAAGACATCTTTGAAAAGTTGAACGAAGTTCAAAAGAATGTGAGTGAAGTCAATGAGCAATTCACTAACCCTGATTTGACTACATTTATTTGTGTTTGTATTTCTGAATTTTTGTCATTATACGAAACTGAGAGAATGATCCAAGAATTAATGTCTTACAACATGGATGTCAACTCCATTGTTGTTAATCAGTTATTGTTCGCAGATGGTGATGGCCACTCTTGTAAGAGATGTGAATCCAGATGGAAGATGCAAAAGAAATACTTGGACCAAATGAACGAATTGTACGAAGATTACCATTTGGTTAAAATGCCATTACTCGGTTGTGAAATCAGAGGTGTGGAGAATTTGAAAAAGTTCTCCAAGTTTTTGTTGAAGCCATATGATCCAAAGGCTGATAGTGACATTGTATTTGATTTAGAAGAAAAATAATTTATGTACATTAATACTATCTAGCACTATTTATACCTTAGATAAATTCAATTCATTAGGAAATTTTTTTTAGCATCTTGAAACTTTGTGTATCGTAGATAATAGTACCTACAATCGAACCCACACACTTGTAGGGTCAACATAGCACCGTATACTGTAGAGCATTAAAAGACACTATATGATGAAGTCACATGATCTAATATTTTTCATTTAATTATAGTCAGAAGTCAACTACCGGTTATCAAATATTGTTTTTTAGTCAAGTCTATTTAGACACTTGGTATTATGGCCAGAGGCAACCAGAGGGATCTCGCAAGAGCGAAAAACATGAAGAAGCAGCAGGAATCTGCTAAAGGTCAAAAAAAGGAGGGAGACCCAAAAAAGAGAATGGAAAGTGACGCAGAAAAGATGAGAAGAAAGCAAGCAGAAGGTATGTAAAACAGAGAATTATATGTCAATGTAGTGAGTATGCCAACTCTCAAACCATGATGCTCGAATACTGACTCTATTTAGCTGATGCTAGGAAAGCTGCCGAACAGGGAAGGAAATAATTGCAAGAAGTATTCTGAAACCATTTTGTAGTGCTTCTAGAATCAATACCAAGATATCTAACTGAAATGGGCTAAGTATTACTAGACCACGATGAAGTATATTGTTTCAGCCAACATTGTTATTATTGAACGTATCCTTTAATAATGTGAATAGGTGAGAATAAAATGTGTATTTAATATGTCACCCGGTACGATTTAGATTCCTTGTAGCCATCTGTAGATCGTAAAGATTATATTCCACAAGCAATCCACTAGATTATAACTTGATAGTTTAAAAATAAGTCATTAGCGAAGATTTCAATGTAAAAATAATCTGATCTGAACAGTTTTCATAGGCTATTTCTACAAAGATAAAACAAGAAAATATTGATTTGCCTTGAAGCTTAGAAAAGTATTACAGGGACATATATGCTCTCTGTGTTCTTGAAAAATTGCTTCCCAAAAAGCATATTACAATTTAACAGCCAAAGTCCTCCGAAGTGATCATGTGTCTATACCGGACGAATGATAAATTCTAACAATTGGTAGTATTCAGTCGTTATCTTTTATATCTTCTAAAGAAAATCACAATGTTAATTGAGGAATCCTATCATGACGTGAAGACATCTTATGGTACAACCATGAGATTGTTTGTTTATCATCCAAAAATTTTGAACTATCCAAACGTTAAATTTCCTGGTGTTGTGGTATACAGCGAAATATACCAGGTTACAGGACCAGTGTCTAGATTTGCTAAGGATATTGCAGGTCAAGGTTTCATTGTTGTTTGTCCTTCTATTTACCATAACTTCGAAAGCTACGAGGCATTGGCTTATGATAATGAAGGTACAGATAAGGGTAACACTTATAAAATTACCAAGGAACTTAAATCGTATGACGAAGATAATAAGTTGGCCATTGATTATTTGACTTCATTGTCCACTTGTAATGGTAAAATTGGTGCCACTGGTATGTGTCTTGGTGGTCATTTGGCTTTCAGAGCAGCCTTAGATCCAAGAGTCCGTGCTGCGGTGTGTTTCTTCGCAACAGATATCCACAACCACGCATTGGGAAAGGGCCAACAGGATGATTCTTTGAAGAGATGCGCAGAAATAAAGGGCGAATTGATAATGATTTTCGGCTGTAAAGACAACCATGTTCCTCTAGAAGGCAGAGACTTAATCAGAAGCGAATTGAGAAAAAACAATATTGAAATGACCTTTATTGAGATTAACGACGCTCAGCATGCCTTTATCAGAGACGAAATGAGCAAGGGCAGATACGATCCAGCCACCACAAAGAACTGTATGGAATGGTTATTCGAATTGTTCAACAGAAAGTTAAAGTTGGATTACGGTGACCATGATGGTAAAGAAACTAAAATTGAAAACGTTTGCTAACTTTTACTTGTACAACCTTGAGAAATGACTCCTCTGATCATAACTCAGATCCATGTATCCTTTCTTTGATAGCATAGTCTATAGCTAAGTAGCAAATAGTATTGGTATTGAATGCTTGCAAAAATTTGAGCACGTGATACTAGATTACATAAGCCAACAATTTTTTTATCATCGTTGAAAAATTACTTCAATAATGGAAGGGAAGGTAAGTCAAAAAGAGGTTTACCATTAAATAAAACTATACACTATGAGACCAATCAAGTTAATGGGTCATGAGCGTTCATTAACGCAAGTGAAATTCAATAGAGAAGGTGATTTAATCTTTTCCGTCGCCAAGGATAGTACAGCATCAATTTGGTATTCATCAAATGGTGAAAGATTAGGGACTTTAGAAGGGCATATTGGTACCATTTGGTCTATTGATGTGGATGATGATACCATATTATGTGCCACTGGTAGTGCTGATTTGACTATTAAGTTATGGAAGATCGAAACCGGTGAATGTGTTCACTCATGGGAAATGCCAACACCAGTGAGAAGAGTTGCATTCTCGCCTGACAATAAGAGATTGTTAGCAGTTACTGATCAAGTTATGGGTCAAACTGGTACTATTTCCGTGTTTGATATAAATTACGACGGTGACTACACCAAGCAACAAAGCGAACCATCGTTAATCATCGAAACTAGAAGTGATGCTAAGAAAGTTACTGTTGCAGGATGGTCAGCCAATGGAGATTTAATTATTTCGGGACACGAAGATGGATACATTTCTAAATATAACAGTTCGAACGGTGAATTCATCGAAACCACCCAGGTGCACGGTATTCACAATGAAGAAAAGGTTGTGTCGATTACTGATATACAATTTGCCCCAGAAGACAAGTCTTACATTGTTACTGCATCCAAGGACAAGTGTTCATGCTTAGTTGATGTGGATACCTTTGAATTAATGAAGGTTTACAAAGCCGACGCCCCAATGAACACCGCTGCCATCACTCCAATTAAGGACTTTGTTATCTTAGGAGGTGGTCAAGAAGCAAGAAACGTTACTACTACTGCCGAGTCCCAAGGTAAATTCGAGGCCAGATTCTACCACAAAATTTTCATCGACGAAATTGGCCGTGTTAAGGGTCATTTCGGTCCTTTGAATTCTATCGCCGTCCACCCAGACGGTACCGGTTATGCTAGTGGAGGAGAAGATGGTTTTATCAGATTGCACTACTTTGATAAGTCCTACTTTGACTTTGAGTTTGATACTGAAAGGGCTGAAAGAGCCATGGCTTCAAGTGCTGCTTAGGTTAAATATCCTGTTTCCTCTTGCATTGGTTTCTCTTTACTACACAAACCTTTTTATTTTATTATTCTAATGGTTAACTTGATAAACAGTTTGAATAATCAAGTAAGATATCTCACTGTATACTATTTTAATTATGTCATACATCAATACAAAGACAGTTTCTATTAGACCATGTAGTAAAATTAACTGGCAAAATTTAATGTCTATGTTTATGGGAAGCGCACGTCCTCATCTTTCTAGATGTTCCTCGAATTATCTAGAACATCGATAATAGCTGCGAAAGATTCTTCTAGGTTCAACACAATTTACTATATAATAACGGGTTGGAAACACAATTTTAAACAAAATTATTAAGAAAAAAACGTAGAATCAAACAACAATGATCTCATATTACACTTCTCCACATTACAATGCTGATCCATTTAATCCATACTGTATTGGAAGTCATAAGTCGTTATTCAATGATGTGATGCATCAATTTGATAGACAATTTTATTATAATCAAAGTCAAAAGATGCTCGAAAAGATGTCTAAACCTAGCAGTGTCAAACAAGTTGAAACAGCGGATGGTTATCAAATCCAAATTGCTAAGAGATTTGGCGATTTCAATGGTTATGAAGTCAAAGTGATACGGGATTTATCGGGCGACTTCTTACTCAAAATTGAGGGAAATAATGACCAATTCGAAAGGAAATATGAACTAGACCCAGAAATGGTAGAAATACGTGAAATCGATTGGAAGTGGTTCAGAAATGAAAACGTCTTGGTGTTGAATATACCAAAACGCAAATACAGACAGGAAGAGAGGAAGAAAGTCAAGAGTGTCAAGAAATCAAACTGTAAGAAATTTTCTCCTAAAAGAAAGGTAGTAAATGACAAGAGACTGCATCACAAGCTCGATAAGCTCGAAGCTGCTTTAAAAGAGGAACAAAGACAGAGGAATTCCGAAAAACAAGAAGAGTATTTGAAGCAACAAGAAAATGACCAACGCAGTTTGACAAGCGACGAAGCTCTGTTTGAACACGAGGAGAATATACAGCTGCCCTCATTATCAGCTGAATCGAGTCCAGCTTTGGAATCAGATACTTCTAGTGAAACTGAATCAATCGAATCTGAACCTATAAAAGCCAAGAAGAAAAACAGACTGCCTTCAATCGAAGAGGTAGAAGACGAAGAGTTTATACTACTTCGCAAGAATATGATATAACTTACTGATAAATAGAGTTTAACCCCATATAGCTTACGAATATAATGCATTGTAATATAATCATGGATATGTAGTTACTAATCATGTTGCACGTGAAGCACGGTAAATTTTGCAGTTGAGGCAAACCAGACATAATTGCCTTTTCTCTAGCTGAAAATTCAATCTTAGTGGCAAACAGGTGCGATAGGAGGACCAAAAATGACTTCAGGTCAGATAGCAGAAGATTCAGATACTGCCACGCAGTCTTATGAAGAAAATGAGGGTGGTGGCTTCATAGTTAATGATCCAGAATATGCGAGTAGTAGAAGATCAAGAAAAGCTAAATCACAAAAGGTTGACTATAAAGTACCATCAGACGATGATGAACAGGATGACATAGACGTGAAGCAGTCCAGAAAAAGAAGAACTGCTCGTGGCAAAAAGTCACTCAAAAAAATGATAGAAAGCGATGATGAAGATGACGAAGATTTCAGCATTGATAAGATCGAAGATCTCAATGAGAGTGAGGAAGATGACGATGATATACAAATTACCAATTCTTCAACTATTATAAGAAATGGTGAATCGAAAGATCAAGCTATTGACTTGTCAGACTCGGAGGACGAGTTACCTTTGTCTAAGAGAGAACCACCTAAAAAGCGAAGAAAAGCAGCTCCACTGAAAACAACTTCAAAGAGAAAGAAGAAAGAGCCAAAAGTGAAAGTGCCATATTTTACAAGAGTCACTAATAAGTTATATGATCAACATCCATATTTGAAGGATGTCTTTCCATACTTACAGGCTGTTGATAAGATTCCAGTTAAAAGAGCTGAACAACCCCCGGGAATGAATATAAAATTATTGCCATTCCAACAGGAGGGATTAAATTGGTTAATGCAACAAGAAGACGGTGAATATGGTGGAGGTATACTTGCAGATGAGATGGGTATGGGTAAGACCATTCAAATGATAGCGTTGTTTTTGAGTGATTTGACTAAGAGACCGAATCTAGTAGTGGGGCCTACAGTTGCCTTGATGCAATGGAAAAATGAAATAGAAAAGCATACTGAGGGAAATAGATTGAAAGTTTTGCTTTTTCATGGGGCCAATAGACTGTCAGACCTCGATGAATTGAATAAGTATGATATAATATTAACTTCGTATTCAGTTTTGGAGTCAGTATATCGGAAAGAGAAGTATGGATTCAAAAGAAAAAATGGGTTAGTTAAAGAACAATCTCCGTTACATGCTCTTAAATTTTATAGAGTTATATTGGATGAAGCCCATAATATTAAAGACAGAACTTCTGGAACGGCCAAAGCTGCTAATAATGTTAATTGTATCAAAAAGTGGTGTTTAACAGGGACTCCATTACAAAATAGAATTGGTGAGATGTACTCATTAATCAGATTTTTAAAGTTAGACCCCTTCCATAAGTACTTTTGTACTAAATGTGATTGCTCCAGTGATGAATGGAAATTCTCTAACTGGAGACACTGTGATATCTGTGGCCATACTCCAATGTTACATACAAATTTTTTCAATCATTTTATGTTGAAAAACATCCAAAAGTTTGGTATTGAGGGTGATGGATTAACGAGTTTTCAAAACATAAGATTGTTATTAAGTAATATCATGTTGAGAAGAACGAAAATTGAGAGGGCCGACGATTTAGGATTGCCTCCCAGAATAGTTGAAATAAGAAGAGACAGGTTTAACGAGGAAGAAAAAGATTTGTACACCTCATTGTACAGTGATTCGAAACGTAAATTCAACGATTATGTTGCAGAAGGGGTGGTTTTGAATAACTATGCCAATATTTTCACATTGATTACCAGAATGAGGCAACTAGCAGATCATCCGGATTTAGTGTTGAAGAGAGTAGGTAACAATCAAATTTCAGAAGAAGTTGACGGTGTTATAATATGTCAACTATGTGACGATGAAGCTGAAGAACCTATTGAGTCGAAATGTCATCATAAATTCTGTAGAATGTGTATTCAGGAATATACCGACTCTTTTGTTGGAGAAGAAAAGAACCTTCAATGCCCCGTCTGTCATATTGGCCTATCGATTGATTTGCAACAAACGGCACTTGAGGTCGATGAGCAACAATTTTCTAAAGCGTCAATTGTAAACCGTATCAAATTGGGGGCCCACGGTGGTGAATGGAGATCATCTACTAAGATTGAAGCTTTGGTAGAAGAACTCTACAAACTCAGATCTGACAGGCATACAATTAAATCGATTGTGTTTTCCCAATTTACGTCCATGCTAGATTTGATCGAATGGAGATTGAAAAGGGCTGGATTTCAAACGGTCAAGTTGCAAGGTTCTATGTCGCCCCAACAACGTGATAATACTATTAAGTACTTTATGGAAAATACTCTGGTTGAAGTATTCTTAGTTTCCTTGAAGGCCGGTGGTGTGGCATTAAATTTATGCGAGGCTTCCCAAGTTTTTCTTATGGATCCATGGTGGAATCCTAGTGTTGAATGGCAATCTATGGATAGAGTTCATCGGATTGGTCAAAAAAGACCAATCCGAATCACTAGATTCTGTATTGAAGATAGTATTGAGCTGAAAATTATCGAATTACAAGAGAAAAAGGCCACCATGATTCATGCCACTATCAACCATGATGACGCTGCAGTAAGTAGACTAACGCCGGACGATTTACAGTTTTTATTTATGAATTAGCGCTATATATGTAAAAAATCAATAAACCATAGAATAATTAATGCAGCAATTTGATCAAATTTTATTTTTCGTCTGACTCATTTAGAGCGTAACCGGAAAATATCTGGAGATGAAGACTTGAAAAATCATCGAATATACATTATTTCCAAGATATATACGATAGAAGTAATTATTAGTTGTTTAACTTAACACAACACTTGATAATTTATGTCTTATATATAGATTTGCTAGCACAATGTCAAATCAAGAATTTTGGTTAAATTATTTAGATAGTCCTACATTATCGGTTTTACCTCATGACTTTTTAAAGCCCGCTAATAATCAATCAGTTGAAGCTTCTTACAGTTTTGAAGTTTCAGACAAGAAAAAGAATGATTTTTCATTAGGATTGGCTGTATTTGGTGCTTTAATCTATAAATTGACTGGTGATGAAGACATAGTTGTTTCTACTGACACTGAATCAAGTCACAAGGAATTCATAGTCAGAATGAACTTGACTCCTACATTGAAGTTCAATGAGTTATTAGATAATGTCAAAAAGGAATATGAAAACAATTCTAAGAAAATTGACTACGAATCGTTGGACGAAGTCGCTGAATATATTAAAACGTCCAAGAAATTGGAAGATTACCCAACATTGTTCAGATTGTCATATCAACATGAAAACCCAGCTCAGCAATTGTCAACCACAGTTCAGGGTTCTATCCGTGATTTAGCATTCTTTGGTCCAGGAAAAGATGGAAAATTCAGCATTTACTATAACTCTTTATTATACAAATATGACAGAATTGTGATTTTGGCTGAACAATTTCAGAAATTTTTAGGAGCAGTTTCTGCAAATCCTAGCATTGAGATTTCCAAAGTGAACTTAATGACTGATTCACAAACCAGTAAGTTACCAGACCCAACTTTAGATTTGGATTGGTCGGGATATCGTGGTGCTATACAAGATATCTTCATGAAAAATGCTGAGGAAAACCCTTCAAGCACATGTGTTGTAGAAACAAAATCGTTCTTGGACCCTAAGTCTAAAACCAGGTCATTTAATTATCAACAAATCAACCAGGCCTCTAATATCGTGGGTAACTATTTAAAGGAAACTGGTATTAAGAAAGGTGATATTGTTATGATCTATGCTTATAGAGGTGTTGATTTAATGATTGCCGTTATGGGTGTTTTAAAAGCCGGTGCTACTTTCTCTGTTATTGATCCTGCTTACCCACCTGCTAGACAAAATATTTACCTTTCGGTTGCAAAACCTAGAGGTTTAATTGGTATTGAGAAAGCGGGTGTCTTGGACTCTCTAGTTGTTGATTTCATTGATAAAGAATTGGATGTTGTTACTACCATTCCTCAATTGAAAGTTAATGATGATGGGACTTTGGTTGGTGGACATACAGATGATCAGTCAGTTGATTGCTTACAAGCATACGAAAGTTTTAAGGACAAGCCTACAGGAGTCAGAGTTGGCCCTGATTCTAACCCAACTTTGTCTTTCACTTCTGGTTCCGAAGGTATTCCTAAAGGTGTATTAGGTCGTCACTATTCGTTAGCATACTATTTCCCATGGATGTCTAAACAATTTAACCTTTCATCTAAAGATAAATTCACTATGTTATCAGGAATTGCCCATGATCCTATTCAGAGAGATATGTTCACTCCTTTATTCTTGGGTGCCCAATTATTAATTCCAACATCTGACGATATTGGAACTCCTGGAAAATTGGCGGATTGGATGGCTGAATATGGTGCTACAGTTACTCATTTGACTCCAGCTATGGGTCAGTTGTTGAGTGCTCAAGCAACGACTGCTATTCCAAGTTTGCACCATGCTTTCTTTGTAGGTGATATTTTGACTAAGAGAGATTGTTTGAGATTGCAAAGTTTAGCAGAGAATGTTTACATTGTCAACATGTATGGTACTACTGAAACCCAAAGATCTGTTTCCTTCTTTGAAATCAAGAGTCGTAAAGCAGATCCAGTTTACTTGAAGAATTTGAAAGATGTCATGCCTGCTGGTAAAGGTATGCATAACGTCCAATTGTTAGTTGTTAATAGATACGATTCTTCACAAACCTGTGGTGTGGGTGAAGTTGGTGAGATTTATGTTAGAGCAGCTGGTTTAGCTGAAGGTTACAGAGGATTACCAGACTTGAATGCAGCTAAATTTGTCAATAATTGGTATGTTGACCCTAAGAAGTGGACTGAACAAGATGAAAAAAATAAAAATCCTTCAGAAACTTGGAGAGAAGATGGATGGTTCGGACCAAGAGATAGATTATACAGAACTGGTGATTTGGGACGATACTTACCTGACGGTAATGTTGAATGTTGTGGCAGAGCTGATGATCAGGTTAAGATTAGAGGGTTTAGAATTGAATTAGGGGAAATCGACACTCACTTATCTCAACATCCATTAGTCAGAGAGAATGTTACCTTAGTTAAAAGGGATAAAAATGAAGAACCAACTTTAATTGCATATATTGTTCCTAAAAACACTCCAGACTTGAAGAACTTCACATCAGAAGTCGCTACTGAAGAATCATCTGATCCTGTTGTTGGAGGTTTGGTTGCCTACAGAGAATTAATCAAGGACATTAAGGCCTACTTGAAGAAAAGATTGGCTTCATATGCTGTTCCAACCATGATTGTTCCATTAGCTAAGTTACCATTGAACCCTAACGGTAAGGTTGATAAGCCAAAGTTGCCATTCCCAGATAGTGTTCAATTAGCCGTTGTTGCAAAATTAACTGCTGATAGTAAGGGACAAGATGCTGAACTGGAAAATTTCAATGAATTGGAATCAACTATTCGTGATTTATGGTTAGAAGTATTACCAAATCGTCCTGCGTCTATTGCTAGAGATGATTCGTTCTTTGATTTAGGTGGGCATTCTATTTTGGGTACCAGAATGATCTTTGAATTAAGAAAGAAGTTATGCGTTGAAGTTCCATTAGGTGTAATTTTCAAGAACCCAACAATTGAAGCCTTTGCTCGTGAAGTTCAAAAGTTCATTAAGAATGATGATTTCGAATTGGCAGGTAACGAGGAAACTAATGATGATGAAACCAAGGCTAAATCTGTTGATTATGCCGGTGATGCTGCAGAATTAATCAAAACCAGCTTATTGCCTCAATACGAATCGCGTACCTCACTTGACACATCAGAAACCATTAATGTATTCCTTACCGGTGCTACTGGATACTTGGGCTCTTTTATTGTCCGTGATTTATTGTCAGCACGCCCAGGAAAGTCAGTAAAGATTTATGCTCACGTTAGAGCTTCGTCTAAGGAAGCTGGTTTCGAAAGATTGCGTAACACCGGTTTGACCTACGGCATATGGGATGAATCTTGGAATGAAAAAATTGAAGTAGTTCTTGGTGACTTATCAAAGCCAAAATTTGGTATGGAAGATACCACCTGGAATAAGTTAGCTGAAACTATTGATGTTATTATTCATAATGGTGCATTTGTTCACTGGGTTTATCCATACTCTCAATTAAGAGATGCAAACGTCATTAGTACTGTTAATGTTTTAAACTTGTGTGGTTCTGGTAAGGCTAAGCAATTTGCATTTGTTTCATCTACTTCAGCTATTGACACTGATCACTTTGTCAGATTATCCGATGATTTGGTTTCCAAGGGATTGGCTGGTATTCCAGAATCTGATGATTTATCTGGCTCTGCAAAGGGCTTGGGAACTGGTTACGGTCAATCCAAATGGGCATCTGAACGTATCATCAGAACTGCTGGTGAACGTGGATTAAAGGGTAGTATTATCAGATCTGGTTATGTTCTTGGATTTTCTGAAACTGGTGCTACTAATTCAGATGACTTCTTGGTCAGAATGTTAAAGGGTTGTGCAGAATTAGGATCTTACCCTGATATTTCCAACAACGTCAACATGGTCCCTGTAGACCATGTCGCAAGATTAGTGGTTGCTTCTGCCTTCCATCCTCCTCAAGATGACCACTTAGCCGTTGTCCATGTCACAGGTCACCCAAGACTCCAATTCAATACTTACTTGGGTACATTGGCCGAGTACGGTTACGATGTTTCGATCGACGACTACCCAACCTGGAGATCGGCATTGGAAAGATTCGTAGTCCAGGACTCCAAAGACTCCGCATTGTTTCCATTGTTGCATTTCGTTTTGGATAACTTGCCTCAGAACACCAAGGCACCAGAATTGGACGACTCCAATGCTGCTAAAGCTTTGAAATCTGATGAAAAGTGGTCTGGTGTAGATGTCAGTGGTGGTAAAGGTATCGACGTCAAGCAAATGGGTGTCTACATAAGCTACTTAGTCAAAGTAGGTTTCTTACCAAAACCAACCAAGAAGGGTTTGCCATTGCCAGAAGTTGATATCTCTGATGAAACTGTCAAATTGATCACTTCTGGTGCTGGTGGTCGTGGATCTGCTGCCAAATAGGCCTTCCATATATATTATTCGATTAGTTTTCCATAGTTTGTTAATATCAAATGCTTTGTATGTATATCTGAGTTTCGCACATTAAACATTCTTATATAAAATAAGCCTGGCTTCTAGATGGGATAATTTATATTGGAAAGACATACGTACAGCTGAGAATGCTATCGTGATATATATCTATGATGTCGAATGAACCCCTGAATTATATCCCGGACTCTCCAACTATATCCATGATCAATAAAAGGAGTGCAAATATTAATAACATAAATGGCATGGACCAAGATAATAATACCACTAGAGCCAGTGTTAGTCGCTTGAGCACACCCTTCTCGTCCCGCCCCAATTCGGCGACGAACTTACCTAGTATTATTACAAAAGTACACATGAAGAGACCTAAATTAGGTGATCGAACAGGATCTACAGAATCAATCACAAGAACTCTGGTATCACTGAAGGCATCGAATCGGTTCACGATCCAGACCAATGCCCGAGCAGCCAACGGAACACCCACTAATATTCCCAATGCATCTACCCCGGTAAGACGCACAAGTGGCTCGAACGTGTCGGGGTTTGCGTCGACGCCCGCTCTCACGTCGCTTGATATGGGCAAGAAGCGGTTGGTGGACCAGTTCTACAGCACCTACAAGGATCCCCAAACATCAAGTGGTACAGACCTTACCCAGTACTTCAGGAATGGATTGAATGTATCGCCGTCGACCGAAAAGACCTTTAGATTCACCAATTACGTGGCAGGGGCCGGATCTACCAGTGAAGATTCGCTCCCGTCTGATGCCATCAGTGACTTGGTGCAATCGGGAGGATTTGCCTATATTCCCATGCAGAACCATCCGAGCCACGACGAATCGTTGACAAACCAGCTACTCAATATCGACTCGTTTACAACAGATAACGAGAACCCCGAGGATGTGGCCAACGGCCTTGCAGACATTTCTCTGTCGCTCAGCTCCACACTCCTCTCCCACACACGAGACTCATTTGCCCTGACACCCACCCCTTCCCACGCATCGCAGGCCGCTGCCAATCTCGACTCTCTCACCCAATACCTCAAGGATGTTCGTCGTTCCACAATCGATATCCTCGCCAACTTGGATTCGAATAAGGATTTCCTCAAGGAAAAATTCCGGGCTGACATCAATAACAGTGTTAGCAAGCTCGATGAAATTGTCACTGTGGTCACATCGTTAGAATACAGACTCAACCACGTCCGCTCGAAAGTCAATCGAAACAAACAGATCATGTCACAGGACCTTTCTCCCAAAATAGCATTACTAGAAAAAATCGACAAAAGAATGTCAGAATACGCTAAGCTTTCAAGAAGAAGACACTTCAGACAAATATCTACATGTGTCTTTCTCTTGTTAGTCCTAATTCTTCTATATACGGTATATATTCGTTAATACATTGATCATAGGTGTATTAGTATGGAACTAATGGGCACGTGAGGGGCCGTGAGAGTGACGCACTCATCTTGACGGATAATCTCCAACGCTTATATTTGTTGATATTCATAGTTAAACGATAGATTATTGATTATAAAGTCGACAGAAGGGTGAATATATAGAAGAACAGTCGATATTAGAGCTATAGTAAGTGAAACATTCAAAAAAGACCCCCTGTTGCGCTTCAGAAAATAGAAAAAAAAGGGAAGAAATCCTCGCGATGTCAGAGGTTATATCGCTAAATTATACTGGCGACAGTGTTAAAAGAATCAATAGTGAAAGTAGCAGGAAGTTCACTAGTTTCCGGACACTTATATCGTACTTATTTACGAAAGGGAATAATGAACATGATACGAATCATGCTACAATCATAGTGTTAGCCAGAAGTATAACGCGGGAGCGATACAAGTTGGACCGATTGGGGATGAAAGAGAAGACGCTATTATTGAAATATTATTTTAATCATTTAAATGTGGTAGTATTGGACGGTGATGCATTAGAGAAGGAGTTTGTTGTGGACCAGATCAATGAAGCTATTGAAAAGATCGATAAGATGATCCATGACAGGATATCGAGAGTGGAGACATGGACGGGAACAGGAAAGACCTCAGTGAACGATTTTTTCAATCAAAATACAGCATGTGACAATGATTTGATGTTCGAAATAGAAGATATTGTGGCCACTATGTCGTTTGTGTTGAACTATAACACAAACACCACCCCTGATACCCTCGCGAACATCACAGTGCTTAACAAACTTATAATGGAAGAAATTGATTTTTTGGGCTTGTTATCTAATAGCTCGAAGAAGCACTTGCTGAAATTATGTCATTTGTTGGGTCACTGGTCGTTTCCAGCTCACGAGTTGACCAACGATGACTTGGTATACTGTGTGTATTTGATATTATCCTATGCCATAAAGGAGGTGAAACGGAGTACCGATTTGCAATTTGATCCAGATGTGACATTCCCTTCATCTAACGAGTTGCTTGGGCTTGCATTTATGGTTAGAGATACCTACAAGAATGGAAATCCATTTCATAATTTCCGTCATGCTGTCGATGTATTACAGGCTTGTTTCCATTATGTGATAAGATTAAGGTGCTTGCCATGTTTCAAGCAGTTCAAGCACGATCCTAAGGCTGACGAACTACTTGTTTTGAGGGCTGAAACTGCCTTAGATACAGCAGTAGAGCTTGTACCCGTCGAAGACAATGAGTTGCTAAATACTTCTCAAAAGAGCAATACATCATCTACTACGTCGATATCAGCTAAGCTTGAGACCAAAACAAGCCTTTCCGATGGACTGGTCATTGCCATACAGAAGGAGACTGCTGTTAGTGAACTGAATTCGGCTCACATGAATTCAATTCAAACATTAGCTTTGTTAATAGCGGCTTTGGGCCACGACGTGGGGCACCCAGGTGTTACTAATGCATTCATGATCAAATATGCGGCTCCAACGTCGCTTATATACAACGAACGATCAGTTCTTGAGCTGTATCATTCGGCAGTATTCATCAACAAAATACTTTCCATAAACTGGCCCCGCATCCTTGACGTTGATATCGACGGCAAGACCAAAATCTCCTTAAAGAGCTTAATCATTTCTTGCATTCTTGCCACGGATATGGCCGAGCACTTTGAGTACATTGACAAACTAGCCCATTTCAAGGCTGACCAGTACATTCTTGATGTTAATCGCGTGAAGCTCATTTCGAGTCTCTTGATTAAATGTGCCGATATATCTAACGTCACTAGACCATTGCGTGTGTCGTCTCAATGGGCGCTGGTTCTTGGGCGGGAATTCAACGAGGTGTCAATGTTGGAAAAGAAACTCTCTCTTGCTCAACCGGCTCCTACACTAGATGTACACTACGACAAGGTCCCAAGCTCCTTGCCCGATATCTTGGACGCCAACCCCAACTTACACAAGGGCCAGATCTTCTTCATCAACACTTTTGCCGAAAACTTGTTCAACAACATTGCCGAATTATTGCCTGAGCTTCGCTACACCTGCGACATTATCCAGGAAAACAAGGAGTTCTGGTTAAGTCGCTAGCATCCGCCAGTTCTCAACTGCCCTTTCCATCCATCCAGTATGCACTGTTCACACGCATTTATAACACTTTATCATCTACTTTCCGGAATCCTATTGACTTGTCCGGTTCATTCTAGCCTTTGCATTCTAGTTGTTGTTTCTACTGTTCCTCCTATTATATGAAAGCCACGATCATTTTGTTTGTTCTTACGTTCATACTCACGGCGTTTTCAGCCACCCTACTTGCTTTCATTTGGCTTTTCTATACATAGTTTTTCTCCTCTTAGTTACGTGTACCTATTATATGCATTTACAACATTATTAGATCCTGTAGATCCCTATTGTTGACGTCGTTGTTGTTGGTTTAATCCTGGCCTGAACTATTGGATTCCGGTCACGTGGACGAATAATTTCTTCGGAATCGACGATGAGGTCGAAAGTACTAAAAATGAATACCTTATATAGTACTAAACCTCCCACAACTGTTAAAAACAATTGCAGTCCGACAGAATCATTTGTGTGATAGGGAAGACAATAGTGTAATTGTTACGGATTATTGATTCAAACAAATTGACCCTAATATTTAAGTGAACAGAAATTTTCAGCTGCCCACTATGGATCGTCCAGGATTTAGTTCACCTCCATTTAATGACAAAAAAATTGTCTTGTCACCACCACCTATTGAACCCAAACAGTTTTCGTTTCTTCAACAACAAAACGCTAGTGGGGCACCACCAATAGGTTTTCAGGAGAGACAACAGAGTGTTGGGTATAACCTTCAGCATGAGTTTGAGACGTTAACCGCAGACTTGGATTTGGATTTGAGAAACAACAAGGATATGCAACAGAATGTTGATACGCCATCCCAGGCGACTCAGGCTGGTAGTGTGGGTCGGGGAATGTTGCCTTCGACTCTGCAGTATGGATTCGGCGATTTAGGGACAGGAGGGTCACTTCAAAATACACTTTTGACCGATGCTGCGTTGTCGCCCAACTTGCCGACGGCATCGTCGCATAGTGCTCTTGGTTCGTTGTTGAATAACAACGGTAATGCCAATTTCTTACCTCCGTTAGCGTCAATTCCTAATAGACCGCAATCGGTAAATGACTTTTCCAATTTTTTTAATCGCCAACAGCAACAGCAACAGGTGATTGACCGCCAGCACCAGCAACAGGCTACAAACTTCTATCTGGACTTGATTGTGTTTTGTAACTGGATTGAAACGTTGAATCCTCGTGACAACATTACCATGATTGATTACTTGTGCAATAATTTACCCCTTGACATTTTACTTACGTTCAAGTCAAAATTGGATAGTCATTTGACCCATTATCATAACCAGCTGGTTGCTAGTCAACCGCTCCATCAACAGCAAAACCAGCCAGTTTCATTTGGTGTTTTATCGCCATACCAGCAGCAACAGAACGATATTCTCACCGAGATGGAAAACTTGAATTTGGATAATTCTTTGAGCAATGATGCCGGTATCTCTTCAAGCCAAAAGAGTGCTCCGACATTACAACAGCCAAAGCCGAAGTTGAATTCTGTTAGAAACCAGGGTCAACATTTGTATGCTGAACAACAGACCCAAAGACCTCGTTCTGCAGATCCAAATATTCACAAACATAGCCCTAACTATGGCTTCCCCCAGCAGCAGTTCGAAAGGGCTAAGTCACCAACTTCCCACTTGTATGAGAAGACAAACTTCTTACAGCTTGCGGCCGCCAATTCGAATTCTCCTTCTGTTAGCCAACAAAAAGGAGCCAACAATTCAGACGAGTCTGTTGATTTATCCGCCCATGCTGCATTGAAATTGGGTGCTTTGGCGACTATTAACTCAAGAGTTGCATTGGATTCTAATCGTAAGAGCCATGTTCATAGTGCTCACGGTCATCAACAACCGCATTCACATTACTTTACCCAGCAAGGTGCTCTGCAACATAGTCCTTTCCTGCCTGCAGCAGCTTACGAGGAGTCTATTAACAGAACTGCAAATTCGTCATCGGTGCCAATCTTGGCCCAACATAACAAGTCACCCCCAGGTTTAACTAAAAGCAAGAAATCAAACGAAGGTTTAGGGCAAGGAGCTAATGCTTCTTCTGGATCGCCTCAAACTACATCGACCACTTCTATGCCAGCCGATATTTCCAATCCTGATTTGTTGAACAACATTCCTGCGTGGTTGAAGTTGCTTAGATTGCATAAATATACCGATTGTTTGAAGGATGTCTACTGGAAAGATTTAATTGAATACGACGATCCCCTGTTAGAAAAGAGAGGTGTGAAAGCATTAGGAGCTAGAAGAAAATTGTTGAAAGCTTTCGACGCGGTCAAGGAAAGTTTATAGATGCGTTACGATTAAATAGTAACTGTTGAAAAATGTAATACAGTAACTACCACCCACTATTTGATATATGGGTGTCATAGTACTAATTTATTCAATAGACTTGTATATTAATAAATTAACTAAACCTAATGGGCCGATCAAATACATACGACAACCTAGATAATAAAAAAACTGATGGATTTTTCGAATCAGTACACCCATGTATCCCCACGTTCAATTTACATAATAATACAACAAGAGTTAGTCTTCTTAGCTTGCTTGTAAAACATTCTTGAAGAACTAGATAACGCTTCGGACTTATCGACTAACGAATCTAATTTTTCACCTCTTTGTAATACACTCTCGATGGTCTTGTGCAAGACAATTTTAGTCTCGTCCAATTCTTGCTGCACCTTCATGATCGAATCAGCTTGGCTAGGATCCTGGTACTTCTTAATGTAAGTCTCTAAGTTATCGTAGTTAAAGCTAGGATTTGTAGCCGTGATAGTGGCCCAATCTTTCTGTGGGTGTAAGGACAAGTATTCTTCTAAAATCTTGTTAATCAATGTGTAAGCTGGTCTAACTGGGTACTCCTTGTCAGTAATAACTACACAGGCAAGTCCTTCCGATCTAGCATACGTGTGTCCGATGTAGTTGCCCTCCTCAATACTCTGTCTTTGACCTGCTTGGGTTCTCTGAGATACAGTTTCGGAGAAGAACGTCATGAACTGTGATACCCCGTTCCTTTCAAAGAACGAAAATTGCGATAAGTCTCTAGCAGATGTTAACTCTAATGCTTTATCACCTCCGGTTCTTAAGATACCAATGTAATAGATCTTCATTTTGTATATTTCTGACTCGTTTATAAG